GCAAATGTTCACAAACGGAGGACGAAGCGTTGGGTGGCCGATAGCACACACCCCAAATTAATTGCTTGTAGTTTACAGTTACGCTGACCCAAAGCATTTCAAAGTCAGTTAAAACATCGACAACGTTTGAGACTATACCATCGGTCACAGCAATAAGAACTCCACCCCCCATTCTTTCACCTCGATCCTGCCGATATACGTTAAATTTCTTACCGCATGTAAATATTTCACTGCTCCAAACTCTACTAGACAGCCATGTTTCAGTTGACAGAATAATTTCGCAATCAGAGGACTCAATAATTGAACTAAGATCATCCTGGCGGCGCATGACGCTTCGAATGTTGCAAAAAAAGTAAAGGAACATTACGTGCCTCGAGGCAGCGCCTTGAACCAATCCCCCCAAAATCCTATCTGGACGTCGCCCCGGTCGATGCCGAAGCCCCGCTGTTTTCAGCTTGATCATTAACTGGCCGCACGGCGCCAGTGGTAACGACCTCGTAAACGTTGTCCTCAGTGAAGTCGTATGCGTATATCTTTTCGTTGATGTGCAATTTGTTATATTTTAGTTTAAACGCAGAATTTTTTGATTTTCCGAAATCGATTAGTTTAGATCTAGCTTGGCGTGTCGCCAGTGAAAAATCTTCACTGACTGATAAACCGCTACCTTTGATAGCAGCTCTCGACTGAAGGACACTATCTTTTGTATTGAATGACTCGAATTTGACGATAACAGGCTGACAGTTATCTTTACAAAAAGAGCCTAATCTGTGGACACAGGCAATGTGTTCGCAAGGAATTCCCAGATCGGAAAGAACATTGACAACCTTTCTTTCAGTGTGTGACCAAGTTTCAGCAAGAGAATCGGCAATGCCATGAAATATCAAGTTATCACGACGTGACCAGTCTTCTATTTTATTAAGACGAGAGCGAAAAACAACATCTTCATCCTGAAGGTGCTCGATGTTCTGGCGCGTAGTGCTTAGCTCCCGTTGAACTTTGTTAATCATCAGTGCTCCAGACTCGACTGCCGCTAGTCTTTTGTCAATAGAGCTTAGTCTAGTTTCAATCTTTGTCTGGTTTGCCTTTAAAGGGGCGATGCACCGATTTTTGTATTTTGCGCAAATACCGCTTAGAACGGATCCCTGACATTAATGAACTGTGAAATACCCGTTCATTTTTCACCACACGCAATCGAAGTCGCAAGAAAAAAAATAAAGAAGAACGAGCAGAGTTCACCCCCTCAACTTGCAGCCAGAACAAGCAGCCACGTGATCTGGAGTTGATTATATCCCGCCAATGTTGATCATAGCCATGCGCTGGGGTTGGCAAAGCACAGGACATGCGCTGAGTTCCAGACATTGTTATGGTTCGGCTGTTGCCGTCATTGCAGCGATTGGACACAAGACACTACCCGAACGCTTCTCGAGCTATCGATTATCACGAGCCCAAATCGAGTGTCCACGCCATGCTCGGGTTCAATCTATGAGCTGCATTCAAATATTGTCACTGGGCTGTACTGCTACCGCCCAGCTACGTCATCAGGTTTTGCGAAGGAGAGATTGAATGAAAAATCTCGGTTTTGTCCTCGAAATTACAGCGCAACAAAGGAGTTTCTTGGTCCGTGGCGTTGCGTGCGAGTATCCTTGAGTCCCACTAGTGCCAGTAAGCTTGTGTAAAGTGAAAAACATTCTGATTGAATATCGTTGCACCGCCCCTTTAATTCGTTCACTGTACTTATTATGCCCGCCTGTCCTTCCTCAAATTTGATTGAACGAGTGTTTAGCTCTTGTAACAAGCAAAATATTCCAGGTCCTAAGTCGGATGCCTGGGCATCCGACATAGGACCTGGACTCATTTCCACATCCCCAGATAGCAACAATAGTTTCAGAACATCAAAACACTGACATGCTAGAAGCAGTAACGTTTGTGGGCATGGGAACAGAATAAGTAACACGTCGTCTGACTTCTTAGAATGTAAAGAAGGGACAGAACCAACCTGCATGAGCAAGAACGGAGGGGTGTTATCCATCCGCATGGTGCAGCTGTTCCCATGCCCATGACCTAAGTTCTACAACTTTGGAGATTTGTCTTTCTAGGTTTCTAGGTGTTTCATGGCAAGTTTGGCTGGTGCACTTGGAGGAAGACTGAATGTTGCTGAGAATTAGACCGTTCAAGTTTTGGATAACATTTTGCCAAAAGTGCGCCCCAAAATGTTTGATATCTTCCCGTGCACTCTATTTTATAGTATTCCTTGAATATCTGAATTTTTGAATAGTAGTTTGATATAATACTCTTCGACATTCACTTCGAGATGAACTGCGATAATCATGCTTTTCGAAGTGTGGATTGCGGGGGGGGGGGGGGGTTAGCTTAGTCATGTTGAGTGCACTTCTTACCAAGCACCGGTGCACTGTAAGGAAGCAACACCCGTAGGGCTTGCTTCCATGGGTGTTGCCACAATCAACACTTCAAAAAGTAAGAATATCATGGTCACGTGCTTATCAGAAGCTTCCTTGAGGTCTACCCACTATCCTTTAATCAGAGCCAATTAGAGCTCGACCTTCTGATCTCATCATAACCCCTGCAAAAGAAGTAGACTAACTTTTGCTCCCACATAGGTTTAATATTATATAAAATTCATTGTTTAGGCATTGAACTTTCTGAGGTCACAGTCCCATAAATATATTTAAATACAAATCAGCTTAAAAATGGACAAGTGGAAACTTGGGAACAACCTTCATGAGTTCAACTGGGTTTTTGTTAAGCATGTTGCAACAGTAGCACTTGGAGAAACTATTCAATATTCGACTGGAACATATTCGGCCAAAACCACTATCTGCTTCAAACTCAAAATCCAGTATTCGTGCATGCCTTATATTTTACAAACAGGGGCACATGTTTTTAATGTATTTAAACTTTGCTGTATAGTTTCTACTTTTGATTGTTTGTCTATACTTTGCAAACAGAAATCTTGACTTCAGATATGTGATTTTATGGTTATATTCTTTACTCTACAGCAAAACTATACACCAACTCATGTTTACAAACGAACTGGAGCGTCTCTATACTCTGTTTCACCTTATGTTGTAGCGCAGGAAAGGCTGTAACCGCGAGCTCCTTGCTCTGGGGCAGATCTCGGCGGCACAAGCTCTTGTGCAGTAAGGGCAGCTGTCAACGCTATGAGCTCGCACTTTGAGCCTTCGCTGCGGTACAACATAAGGTGAAACGGAGTATAGCGGACGCCACCGGCGCCGCGCATGCGTGATGGAGCGCAGGCAAGAAGCTTGTCGTCACTCATAAACAAACCATTGAAATGGGATGTTGTCGGCGTCAGTGTGAGTCCCCCTGCCCTTTTTTCCGTTTGAATTGTTGATTCTACGTCTTGCTGGCAATGTCTTCTACGTCTTCCTGGCAATGTCCAACTATTTGAACGGCCTCAGCGAAATTACAGAGGCTCGTTACATCGCAAAACTTTGCGTGATTGATGTGACATGCGGCGAATCATTCCGTGTGGACGCCGTAGAATGTACGCTAAAGTCTGATTCACATGTTGAGATTTCGCTCGCAATTTTAAGTCGTGACGTCGCTCGGGCTGCAAAAGCGTGAACCATGGCTGAGATGGTCGACGTCGATACTGAAAATCGCAAGCAGAATTGGATCAAGTGAATCAGACATAACAAATCGGTGATGGCCACTGGAAACAATGATTAACATCTCCTTGTATCTACTGTTTACATTGAGCCTGCTTACCAACCTTCAAACTTAAGTCTTTTGAGGCCTGCACTTACTTCTTATAGCAAGTATCGAGCCAACATTTGGTCTATGGGCCGGTGTCGTCTAAAAGAGCAGACGACAAGCAGAAACGTTTGAAAGAGCAGACGATAGTTCGAACAATCAGGCGGCTGTTCAAACTTGAAGACGCACTGAACGTAGTCCGCAGGAGGTCCAAACAATTTGACGGTTTTCCGGCGTTCATGTTGGAACAAAACAAATAAATTTGATGACCACAAGTATCCATGAATTCATCACAACGTGCTTCTCCCCCAAGCAATTGTGGTATGACGGCATCTGGTTTTCACTTTTTACAGCACATATCCACACTCTCGGACGAACAGAGCACATTAAAACTGACCTTCAAACCTTTGTCGACTCTTTTGGTACAGCCCTAGTCGCGGCGTTTTGACGAGAAGGCAGGTTTTTGTCTTGTTTCTTTCAAAACAGTGCAGGAAGACACGTCTCACATGGGGACTTCCACCCACAGTCCCAGACTGGAAGTGCGCTCAACGCGCCACCACCCCGCCGTGACGTAACACAGTGGAGTTTGTGTATATTTTAATCAGTACAAAAGAAGTTAGATTTTTCAAATTGCATGTAAATGAGGAAGTTAAAAAAAGGGGCTCTCTAGTCAAGCTTTGTGACATAGCTATTGAAGGTGTTCCTCTGTCACAGTGCACTTAATTTGCACCGGTGGCCCATTCAACACAGCTGAAAGGGTCTTGCTACAAACTTTGAATATATCCAAAATTAGATGCTAAAAATTTTACAATGACACCAATCCCTTCATACGAGTATAGAGAGATAAACAGTTGAAATGCAGGCGAGCTGGTGTAAGTGATGCCAAAACCCAAAAGTAAAGTAAAAGACAAAAAAAAAAAAAATTTTTTTTGTCTATCACTTACATTGTTTTTCTGTCAATGAATATAATAATGCTTACTTCAATATTGAAGTTTCGAATACTTGCAATTTTATTATACGGGTTTATAAAAATTGTACAATAAGCACTATACCCAGTTATACGATTGACTTGAGCCTCAAGTGTTTCCTAGACTAGAGATCTTCATTTTCATTACCTACAGACAAGCTCCTTTCTGGCTAAAACAATAGAGTCTACGGCCTAATGAGCTACATATATGCCAGAAAATATGGCACCTGCCACAAAGCAGTAAGGCAGGCAGAGATGAAGACTGACAGCCAGGAATGTTTAGATAATGCTTACACACCTTTTGGAACACCAGACCTTGGAGTGACCACAGAAATGATCTCTGGCAGTGAAGCGGATGACTTGCGGCAGAGTTTGATGAAACTATGTGATGAAAGTTGCTGGGCAGATGGCCTAGAAACAAAAAAGAAAAAAAAAAAAAGCGATATGTGTAAGTAAAACAAGGTAACATTTTTCATGTTTGTCAGCTTGCTGATCAATGAAACAGTCCTCGCTGGACTGAATTAACAGTGGATTGTAGTGGCTATGTCGGGTTCAAGTCACTGAAGAGCAATTTTTACATTATCAGCCTACAGTCGAGCCCGGTTATATCACACTCAGGTATTTCAAATTATTGTTTATACCAAACAGCCCAAACATCCCCTTGAAAATCACATGTAATAGTATGGGTACATTGTCTTTTCGTATCCAACTCCTATGGCGGAAACACTCGATATAACGAATGATAGAGCAAACAAAGCCCAGCTGCCCGTTGCTTTTCCTGAGATCCGATTGTATGATTGCACCGGTGGCGAGCACATCGCTTGTGTTGGGTGGCTGGCAGACCCCCGATTCAGCATACACGCGAAAAGATACGCAGCGAAAAAGCAGTTGTGGGAAAGGAGAGACGATGAACAGTAAAAACAAAAGTGGAGGATGGCAAAAGCAAGGGGAAGGGCACGCGCACCCGTGTAGGGAGAGCAGGGAGTGCCCGCTGTTGGGGCGGTAGCCTGTGTCCTTTTCCCGAACACCGCTGATGCTGCATGATTCCCTAACCCCAGAATAAAATAAGCAAAAAAAAAAGCCTTCCGCAAGTCGAGTGTGTCGACAACAACGTTTGTGCAATTGCACTTTGAATGCCTCATCTTTGTTTTCCTTTTTCTTTTGCCATTATTGCTTTGCCCAGTTTTTTTTTGCCTTTCCTTTTTTGCTGCTTAAATTTAGTGAGCTTTCTTTTTTTATTGCTTGCCTAACTTTTTTACATGTATCAAGAGGTCTTTTTTTTTATGCATCTCTCTCTTCTGTTTTTGTTAAATATTATTTTCATGTTTTGCTGCTTGACCTGCGTGGAGGTCTCAACCAGGAGCGCAAGTAAGTGCAGCTGTGTGGGTGGTCTCCGCCAACTACGCTTTACTGTATTTAGCGGCTCCTGGATGCTCTATTTGGTAAACTTCCATTTGTCGCGACCTTTGGTATTAGCAGAGACGACAGGGAATTTCAACTCGAGCTTAATTTAACATTTTTCGTATATCAAATTATTGATATATCCAACTATTTTACGATACCCTTTGAATTCAATATATCTGGGTTCGAATGTACTACGATGTACTTCCACTACATAAAGAGCACTTATGCTGATTGCGACTAACCTCACTTCAATGTCAACTGCAATCCGCGTCAAATGTTCCCATATGCTGCCAACATACTAACATGGATTTGTATTAAAAGTTAACACAATTACTCAGACACAGCAGGCTGAAAGGAACTTGTCTATCTTTCATTCCACTCATTTGCATTATGAATTTGACACAAAGAAATGTAAGAACTTTGCTGTGCAGTTTTGTCACAGCATAACCAAGCACATAAAAGACATTCTGTAGCATAGAATAATGCATGGCGGTAGTTAAAAATTTCAGCAAGCCACGTGTGACTCGAGGAGTAAAGAGGAAACAAAACTGAAACTGACAGTGCAATAAGACAACAATGAAGGATTTGAGCTTACCTTAGCGTTGGATCCCTTTGCAAGCAGAGTGAAGTAAAAGATGAAAAATCACTCCCAAAAAGGTTGGCCTTTGAAGAACTTTCCCCACTTGGCTTGCACATATCTGAAGGAGGCAAAACGAAGTGCAAATAAGTCGAACCTCGATATAACGAACTTCAATGTAACGAAATCCTCGATTTAACGAAGTATTTTATTTTTCATAATTTCTTGCCCATAGACCCCATGTGTTTTTAGTTCCTATATAACGAAGTATATTTTGCTGCTATTTCAATATAACGAAGCGCCATTGCCATAGAAGGCAATAAATAAACCAACTCTAAAAAACAACCTCGCAAAAAAATTGTGGTTAAAAAAAAAAAAAAATTATGCGCAAACGCGAGCGCTTGATAGGTTACTTCACGGGGACAGGCCTTCCAACGTTCCTAGGCTGCCCGAGGATGCGGCGCCGGTAGCGCCGGCGAGGCATGCGGCAAAGCGGATTCCGCGAGGCTGGCCAGAAAATGCCGAGCAAAATGTTTACACGGCATAACAGCATCACCATTGACATTCACTGATCATCATAGTCCAATGTATCGCGGGTAGCGCGGGAGCCAACTTCAGCGGGGAGCGACGTGATGGCGCGACCGCGCGACCGCACGGGCAGTGCCATCTAGGAGAAGACCGAAAAGACCGATTATCGTCTTGCGAGCGTGATGTAAAGCAAAGGCGCAAGCACACTGTGGGCGCAAGGGGGCAAGTAAACTGTGCGGTCAAGAGTGCTGTGTAGGTTGTTGGCAGTTGGCACCGCTTAAACTAAACAGCTTTATTTTTGAACCGGGCGGTTCACTTACGTGCTTGCTGCCATAAGGAAACGTAAAGTTCTTTCTTTGGATAAGAAAGCAAACGTTTTGGACGCCATCCTGAAGAAACTGCCGAGATCACGAGGACTCGGGAAGTGCTCGACGCAATGGACGTACTGAGGAGGTACACGGCGTCGCATGGGCAGCAAGATGCCGTGCGAGCGCTCTGGGCGCTCGAACGGCTCGAACGCCGTATGACGACGCCGACGCCGCTGCTACTGTCGGACAAGGCGCAAGCAAAACTCGCGGACTACTTTGCCCCTAAATAAATGTCATTTTCGGTGAGTTTTCATACCCGTAAAATGTTTCGGAATTTTTTTTTCGCATGCTAGAGCCAAATTTCGATTTAGCGAAATTTCAATGTAACGAAGTAAATTGCGAATTTTACCGACTTCGTTACATCGAGGTTCAACTTAATCAACAAGTGGGTGTCAAGTACTACATGCTTGACTTTATTTCCGCCTCGCAACCAAGCTGATGTTCAGGTAACAGGTCACATAGTACTCAGAGAAGGCACTTCAATTTTTTAATTCATATTAATATATGAATTGAATATGTTTGATTGGGATAGTATACTAATGCAAGGGAACAATGTTATCACTGTGACCAGAGAAGAAGAAGAATAACGAAATGTTCTTGTAGCACTTAACGCTTTGAAAAATGGATTAGTAGAAAAAAAAAGTAACTGATGCAGATAACATCAATAAAATTCCAAAAATGTATAATTTGTTAAATGAGTAAGAGTAGCTTGAGCATGACAGCCTATAATAAAATGTCATTGCCTCATGAGCATAAAGCCTGCCCCCCGCCCCCCCCCCACCCCTCCCCAGGCAGAAACCTTTTCAACCTTCCAATTTTAAATCACACAAATAATATTTTTTCATAAGATTGAGGTTTTGGGACAAGTCCTCTGTGACGAAATCATAATTTTGTTAGCTTGATCAGCAAATGCCGTTTAGAATTATTACTTGACAACCCACTATGCGAATGCACGTCAAGACATTGATTGTCGTGAGCCAAAATCGAATGGAAGCTGTTATCTTTACGACGTCTAGGACAATGCCTAGAGGACGATCTAGGGATGCATAGGCCGGTGCTTTGTCTTGGAGTCACCAAGGCAGCTTATGGCGACAGCCAACAAAGTGAGTAGGAGCCTCGTTCCAATGCTCCTACTCGCTCAGAAAGGCAGCAGATTTCTAAGTTTGCTGAGTTACATTGAAATGCTCTATATAGGGTGCTACGAGTTGAAAGGCTTGCTCTAAGATTAACTGGGAAAATCGACACCTGCACATAACGAGCTTAGACTTTCAGTAAAGGTGAATTTTACCTTGTGAAATTTTAAGACGTAGCGTTGTTCAAACTTTTCCTATGCAAAGTTACCACACCATCGAAATATTTCATGGCAAGCTCCGATGCAGATGACCTAAATAACCGAGAGTTGTGCTTGAGGTGGCCACCTCCCGACAGGCACGACGAGCGGACGACGGCGCTGTCTGCTTTCGACAAGGTGCTTGACGTGCCTACCGGGAGATGGCGCCACAAGCCTGACTCTTGGTTACCTAGGTCGTCTGTGTTGCAGCCTGCTGTAAAAAAAAATGTCAAAAGCATTGTTTGAACCTTTCACAGGAGCAGAGCTACGTCTTGAAATCTCACGAGGTAGTACTATCCACCACTGAAATGCGCCTTTGGCGATAGTTTGAGCTCATTGCGTGCACACTTGAACCTTTCTGGCCGATTTTAGGGCCAGCCCCTTGATTCATAACACCCCGTAGCTCGGGGATTATCAAACCCTTCGACAGGAGGAACCCCTATTTCTCTCGACTGTTAGTAAAGGAACCGCTCCCAGTCTCACATAAAGGCAATAAGGCGGGGAAGAGCTTACGGACATCGTAGGCAATGATGTGGATAACAGGGAGTGTCTTGCCCATAGTTATGCATCAATGGGTCTGCTCAGTTTCGTTAAAATGGTGCTTAAATTGGAGAAACACTTCACTGAGAAAAAGAGACGGTCAAGGAAATTCAAGAGCTCGGGGAACCCGCGAGGGTATCTTGGGGAACCCCTGAATTCCCTGGAACTCTGGTTTGAGAACCCATAACTGTGTCTTCTTTAGGCTTTACAGGTCTGTTCTGAAAAAAGCTGCGAAAGTTACACTAATGCTGTCCGTGCAGGGGAGTTAGACCGCCAGGGGGACCTAACGTAGGGGGCTAATCGTCACGATACGTCACATAATTAACTAAAATTCGTTAATCAACTGCTTAATTAGCAAAAATAACATGTGCTTTCAATTAAGTAAATTTCAGAAAGAATTCAGGAGTGTGGGAAGCGTGGCAGCACGCTAAAGCTACCACTCGTGCGACGGGTGCAACGCTGGCAGTGCGAAAACACGGATGATAAGAGACAGAAAAACCGCACGAAAGGTGTTTTTGCACCAGTAGCCTTGAACCTGTTGGACGAGTGGTAACTTGAGCCCACCACCGCGCCTCCCACGCACCCCAGATCTTCCTAAAATTCACTTATTTAGTGGTTCTTGATGACGCTCGACAAGTTTGCGAACAAACTCTAACCTACTTATTGTGACGATTATCGGCCTACCGTAATATCCCGAGTCATCGCCCATCCCTGAGCCATCGCCCACCCCATTTTTGGGGCCAATATCGATTTCCGGAAAAACACCGAGTCATCGCCCACCCCTTCAAATACCCCAGCGCGGACTCTGGGATCCGCGAACACTCATCCTACCCGAATGACGCGGCCGCGGACCTTACAGTTGGAGGACGTCCGTGACAAAGTGAAACGAAGGAGGGAAAGACACTTTTTTTTTTGTTTACGCATTTCCTCCGTGAGCGACCCCAAAGTGGTCGTGTATCCGTGCGAAAAGAAAACGATGGAGATAACAAAATAAGAGTTTGTTAACGTAACCGCGGAATGTTAGGTCAAAGTCTGTCTCTGCCGAAGTAAGGTCACCGCGAACCCGCTCCTTCTTCCCGCCCGTCGCGACCGCTGTTGTGCAATATTTTAGGCAAAGCCAAAGCGTAAATAAAGCTTTGCTGGAACGTCCTACACAGACGTTTACAGAGCGTCCCAACCGTGCATTGATAGCCCGCCGTGCACGGACGCACGTATGTACGCACCAAACAAGAAAGTTGCGCAAGAGCTTGCAATTGACAAGGCGCTCGACTTGGCCCGACGCCAAAGTATTTGCCAACGCGACCACCGGCGTTCCCGCTTTCCCAGCATTGCTCTTGGTCGCCTCTTTGGTCCGCTCGCTCGCTCGTTGCGCCTGGTCGGTTTTTCTATTTTCTTGTAGACTTTTCTTTCTTTTTTTTTACTAACTGGGAGAACATAATGGTGACATTCTTTCACGGAACAAACGTTCGTGCTATATGCAGATCGGCGGTGTTTCTAGCGCGTATGCAAGCAACGGTCTTCGCTATAGTAAAATATTCTTTCGTGAGCATTTTTTTCTATAAAACAATGAAACTAAATCGAGTTTTGAGTTTGATGTATCTCTTGTGCATCAGCGCTAGATACGCAGAGAAAAATAGGCGGTTTTTTCCGCTTTTTTTCAAGTGTTTGTGCTCACCCACCGAGACATGGCCCACCCCACTTTTTTAACGAATTTCAGGCGGTTGGGGGGTGGGCGATGACTCGGGATATTACGTATATTATGTCCCCCTTGCCACATAACTCACTTGCAAACATCGCATTAGTGTAGCATTTGGGTTTTCTTTTTGAAACAAACGTGTAGACCTTTGCAGCGGCAGCCTCGACCGAAGCAATTTGCAGCGCGCGTCCCTGGTTTTGAGAGTGTACGTCAGTGTTGCCCGGCTATGCTGGGCTGTGGGTTTTCTCATCTGTGGGCTGTGGCAGCCTGCATAGGCACGATTCCGGATAGCCAGGGGCGGCTGAATTGCAGCGTTTTATATTTTCTTTTGTGTTCTGTGGCAAATAGAATTTATCACGGTCTTTAAGAAGCACTGTACTATTTTTTGGAACTAAAACAAACAAATGAAAGCTACTTTTGGTGAGTCCGTGCACGAAAAAAAAATGCAACTAAAATGTTTGTTTAATTTTATGTTGATTTTTTTTGCGACACCATACGCTCAGCCGCGTCAATCTACAAAGGTCTTAACGGTCCAAAATATTTAGCCACACAGGATAGCCGAAATGCACGGGTATTCCCTCCTCACAACATGATATTAAAAAAGTCTTATTAATCGAACACCATATAGTGTACCATACCCCACGGTGCCGTGTTATCCGAACAGGATTTGAGAAAGGTCTCAAATAACACAGCACATCCAATATACAGTGTTGACGAGTCACTTCACGACGATTGGAAGGAATCCGGCTTGTTTTATGGCATGTTTTGCAGAAAGCTCCCCTTTTATTTTTTATTATAGGTATATATATATTATATTCTTTTTTTTTCACAACACCAAAGCAATTGAACAAATGTGTCTGACCATATCAGCTATTTTTCGCGAAGACTGGGAACATAGTCGGGGAGGATTTTCAGAGATTATCTCAATGTAAATAATTCTCGAAGAATGTCGAAAGAACCCACGTCGTGGGCTGCTTGACGTTCGCTTTCTTCATTTGTTTCCTGCGAAGGCTGAGCAGGCTACAAGCCCTGGTATTCTCTGGTTCCCCTAGTTCTCAAAGTGGAAGATAACACACAGAGGGTAAGCATCCTGAATAGGCAAATAAAGTAAAAAGTTCCGAGGAAAGCCGAAAAACTCCGAATGCACAATGCAAGTGGGGAGTCGCGTTGAACGGATTTCCACAGCTCAGGTGGATGGCAGAAATTTCTGGCTGATGGCGTCGCTCGAGTCGCAATATGGCGGCGGCCAGAGAGCTCTTTTTGCGAAGGTCTTAAATAAAATGCCCTGTATGTTAAGCATCTTGCAAAGCAACGCACAAACTGCCCGACAGCAAAGCAAGTGCAGAACAGAGTGCGGACAAGGCACTCGCAGTCGACTTGCCGCACATAAAGCAGCCCACCTTGGCTAGATGCCTTGACAGCAGTCCCGTCACAGAGGGCGCTGCTCGCCTGCCTGGGCACGAGGTCTCGCAGCTTGGCCAGCAGCATCTGGGTGGGTGCCATGCCCGTGAACGGAGCCACACCATTGGCCAGCTCAAAGGCGGTGACCCCGACGCTGTAGATATCCGACTTCGAGTTGTACCCCATCAGGTTCTGCATAGTGTGCCTCGATTTCAGAGTGTTGCCAACTGCTCGGCAGGGGTCATGTGGTTTATGGGCAGCACTTGCGAGACAAGGTGCAAAGAGGGGGCCGAATTATTGGTCGTCCGCAACTGTCTCAGTCTTGCTCCACTTCCCTGCTTGCTATGCTCCTGCCAAGCAAGAACACATGCTTGCGCACATGCAAGCATCTGTTGTTGCTCTCTATGGTTTGAGTTGGTCCCTCTTGTAAATCCAGGCTCTCTAGTTCCGTGTACAGAAAAGCGGCGGCGGCCACTGTTAAACGAGAAAGTGCGGAAGCTGCAGACGAGACACTTACGGGGATCCGGCAACCCAAGCTGCCAGAATCAATTGCCAGATTTAAACAAATTAGCGCTGTTAGGTTATCCTCCTGTGCTCAAAATAAATTCAGCTTTGATCTAACCTGGTGCATCTCGCAATTAAAAGCAACTGGGATTAAGAATCAGTAAGGGTGAAGGATTCTTAACACACCATTTAGCACAGCAGTTTTGGTTATGGTCAAAGGGCACGTGGCAGATCATAGAACAGCAGTCTGCTGACATAAGAGCAGAAAGAAAGTCTGCTTTCAGAAGTTTTCAAGTTAAATTTTTGCACTATACACCATAATGCTAAACATAAAGATGGCGTGCTAGTTTCAATTCAAGTCGGATCTTGCTGTTTGTCACCTCATCAATTTATAATATCACATGATAACTTCTTTACTGAGGCGTTCAAAAAATAATCATCAATCAGAGTCGGGAAAAATTGTGATTAAAATTTCTGTTCACAACAGCCCAAAATAAAACTGGAATAAATAGCGAGACCTACCTAAATCAACCCTATTATGCATCTAATCGGAATGATCATAGTCTTAAAATTAGAGAGTAGCGTGCCAAGATCAAGCATGTTTGCCAGTTCTTTCTTTCTTTGAATGATTGCACAATGAAATCGACTCATGGAAGAAGTGTGCCGTTTGAATGAAGATGTGTTTTTTCATCTCTGTAAATCCCCCTGCGGTAATGCCCCTGGGCACTGTGGGGTAATTATTCAATAAAGAATAAAGAAATATATAAAAGTATATTCTTCAGTGAAGACAAAGAAATGTAATATAGGTAGTTTGCTCAATTTATATACTAAGCTTCAAAGCAAATCCAGTTTTCTTTATGGCTTCCGCTTTGCTTTCCTTTGTTTCAATAGTACCAAGCTTTTTTAGTTCCAAGTGTTTTTAAAACTTTTAGTCTACCAAAGAATACCGCACATCTAGACGGCGGTTTAAAAAGCGCAAAGGACTAAGAAGAGGAGGAGGGGACAGGATAGAACGCTTATGTGCTCTGTCCAGTCCCCTTCTTCTCTTTTTAGTCCTTTGCGCTTTTTAAACCGCCGTCTAGATCAGGGGTGGCCAAGCTGCGGCTCGCGAGCCGCATGCGGCTCTTTGCGTGTTAAAGTGCGGCTCGCGGCTTCCTCAACTACCCCTACCTTATCCCCCCCCCCCCTCCCCCCCCCCCCCCCCCCAGCCTTCCTTTCGGTCACACGAGCACTTCCCCAAAAAGAGAAATGGAACGCGTTTTAAATCGAAAGACAGGTTGCTGTTTCTTAGTCTTGTGCTACTGCTACCTTACGTACAGTTCGACTGTGTTTTAATCAAATAGATTGAAAATAATTCGAGTTTCATTTATTGCTCTGGACAAAAGTTTGCTCCCCCCCCCTTCTTCTCCTCCTCCTCCTCCTCCTCCTCCTCTCCCTCCCCCTCCCCCCCACGGCTCTTGGAAGTTTTGTGGCTCTGTTTGCGGCTCTTAGGCCGGGTCAGCCTGGCCACCTTTGGTCTAGATGTTCAACCAACTAGCCCCCCAATTAATTTTGATGAATACTGCACATCCACCCATTCCACACTAAGTGCCCATTCCAAACTTTGTAAGATCTGAGAAAATACGCACAGTACATTGGTATGTAAAATTGATGACCGGACAAGCGCCCATCCCCTATTTTTTTGCGATTGTCTCCAAAGTTTGAGTGGGCGCTTGCCCGGTATTTTACGGTATGCTAACTTGCTGTAGAAGGCATATGGTGATGAAACAAGCACTGCAAGAAGTCCACCCTCAATGCAGCCCTATCAGACCGCAGTCACGTCCAAATAGTATGAGATATGAAATCTTCAAAATTTTACCTTAAACAAATAAATCACAAAACTCGAAGAAAAAAAAAAGAACTTGAAATTCGCATAATCACACCACTAACTTTGGAAGGATACGAGATTCAACATGAGCTTCAGGAGCACTTTACCATCCCTCTAAGTTGGGTTATGCCCAAAAGGAGGAAGTTTTTCTTCACCTGTTCTAGAAGTTCAGGACTCAGCCAGTTGAGGGTATTGACTGCATTCTCGGGGAAAGCGTGGATCCTTGACTGCCAGCGTCCATTAACTATGACGTTGCAGGAGTAGCGGAACCCTGACAGCATCACTCTGCCTTTGCTAGACAGAAGCAAGTGGCTGGCCTTGATGCTCCTGCATGATTTGCATGCAAGTAAGTGAATATCCTGCATCACATACTCTCACACTTTTATGCGGATTCTCAGTCAACTGCCCTGGAAGGACAGCTGTCCTGACTGACCACTAGGTCTCAAGCGACGCCATCTTGAAAAAAAGGTTTGGTTAAAAATATGTGGTACAAGTATATAATTAATCTAGTGAGGTGACTTCTTATTAGTAGTAGTAGAAAAAAGAAAGCCTTACTCTAACATGTGAAACTGCAAGCTATAAGGTTATAATTCTTCCTCTTATTCCATTCCCAGTGATGGAAGTGGCATTTGACCTCTTGGAGAAGGTTCTGTAGCAGGCAAAACACTGATTCGGAGCAGTCACTGATGCTTTTGGAGCAGATGCTAACATCTGCTCAACATCACTTGAAAAAAAAAAAAAAAAAAAAAAACGGATTGCATCGTTAAACGAGTTTTTTTTTGATAATGACTAAGGGCTTCTCTCTAATATTGGAGCATGTTACATATTATCTTTTGTAATAAAATTAGAAAGGGCCCAAAGGAACACGGAGCTTGACAAAAAGAAACCCGAGACAGCGGGTGAAAATGACACACACACTAAAAAATCCTTTAGCGTATCTACATTTATTTATTTTTTTTTCCTTTTAGAGTGTGTTGTTTTTACCCGCAGACTCGGGGTTTTTGCCATGCTTAATATTCACCGGCTCGTCTGCGCCCTCATGACGAGTTCATTAACACAGAGCTTTCTTTTTTAGAAACAAGTCCCTGGTCAGAGTAGGTTCCATTTACAATGCACTACAAAAAATGGTTTAAAAATCAATCGAAGAGCAACACTTCAGTTGCGCTAAAGCCCCACTCTCCTCCCCCTATTGCTTATTTAGCCCGTAAATATAATATTTGTAAAAAGCCACGAACAAGCACATCTACTATTTCTCAGCACGGCATTTCAAAATTAGAGGTCAACCTACAATCAGGATCAAGGAAGGTAGTAATTGTAATTTATTTGCACAAGAACAGTAATAGTATGGAGTGTAATTTCTGAGCCTATTGCACTAACCCAGGTGCCTCCCCATGTCCGTCGCTACTCCTAGCACTCCTGTGCAAATCGGTGAAGCTCGACATACACGCTTTCAAACTAACTTCAAACTTTCAAACTAACTGCTTGATGCCTCGAAATCTTTTTCTCTCATAACAAATCCATTGACTTGCAGAGCGCACTCGTAAAAATCATTCAAGCAGCGATGCGTCAACATTCTAGTTTTTGGAGCTTTTTGGAGATTCCAGTGTTTCCATCGGCGATTATGTGTTCAATACACTTCCCATTTTCTACCAAGGCCCAGACTGTTGCCACAGAAACGTCGTATTTATCTGCAATTTGATTTTTCGTCTGGTCTTTACCTGCTTTTTGAATTAGTGTAGTTCACTTACGATGCAGATCAGTTGTAATGCGCAGTTCAATCTCAAACACAGAAAAAAATGCGGCACCTTCTCGGTTTTGCTAGGCCTATTGTTTTGCATGGCAGACGATCGCGGGCCCCCGAGAATGGAAACAATCGTGTGCGACCGCAGCACCACTGACGCTCCTTCAGAAAGACGTCATTTATTTATTTATTGTACCCTCAGGGCCCAAAGGCATTGCAGAGGGGGAGAGCGTATACACAAACCCATTTCTGTTACGCCAGGGCGCGGTGGTGGCGCGTCGGGATCACTTCCGGTCTGGGGCTGTGCGCGGAAGCCGCCATGGGGCACGTGGATTCTTGTGTTACTTTGGAAGAAACCGGACAAAAACCTGCCTTCTCGTCAAAACGCTGCGACTGGGGCTGTACCAAAAAAAGTCGGGAAAGGTTTGAAGGTCAGTTTTCATGCGTTTTCTGCCTGCTCGGTTCGTCCGAAAACATGAATAGGGGCCGTGAATAGGGGCCGTGGAAAAGGAACAACAGACGCCGTCGGACTGCGATTGCTTGGGCAGGAAGCACTTTGGATTGAATTCATGGATACTTGTGGTCATAAGATTTATTTGTTTTGTTCCAACATGAACGCGGTATAACCGTCAAGTTGCACGGACCACCTGCGGAATACGTTCAGTGCGTCATCACGTTCAAAAGGCCGCCTAATCGTTCAAACTGTCGTCTGCTCTCTCAAACGTTTCTGCATGTCGTCTGCTCGTTCAAATGACAGCGGCCCGTAGACCAAACATTGACCTGGTAGTTGTGATAAGAAGTGCAACCTCAAAAGACGTTCAAGTTTGAAGGTTGCTTCGGGTAAGCAGGCTTGGTGTAAACAGTAGATATAAGGACATGTTGATGATTGTTACCAGTGGCCATCACAGACTTGTTATGAATGATTCACTCGGTCCGATTCTGCTTGTGATTTTCAGTATTGACGTCGACATCTCAGCTAAGGGTTCAGGCTTTTCCAGCCCGAGCAACGTCATGACTAAAAATAGCCAGCAGAACCTCACCACGTGAATCAGGCTTTAGCGTCCCATTTGCCGCATCCACGCGGAATCAATCGCCGCATGTTACGTTATTCAAGCCGAGTTTTGTAGAGTAACGAGCCTCGTTAATTTTGCTGATGCCGCTCAAGTAGTCAGACATTGCCAGGGAGACGTAGAATCAACAATTCCAACGCGAAAAAGAGTGTGGGAACTCACACCGACGCCGACAGCATCCCATTCCAATGGTTCGTTTATGGACGATGGCGAGCTTCTTGCCCACACCCCCATCGCGCATGCGCGGCGCCGGTGGCGTCCGCTACGGGCGCTCCGGTTTGTTTGTAAACATGAGTTGATGTATAAAAGGAAAACAAAATGTAACAAATCAACAATACAGCAAACAGATTATAATTAGGGTTCCGCATTTTCGGTTTTTATTTTTTCAAAATTCGGCACCCTTTTTTTGATGTTTATTTTAAGATTCAATTTTCGTTTTTTTTTTCGGCATATACTTATGCCCACAAAAGTTTAGCATTTTTTTCGGTGACTACGAAAGGAACACCATCGGACACCGGATCAGATGATCCTTGTAATTCTGATATTTGTGATCCCTCAAAGCACAGATACATTGAAAAAACAAAACAAAAAAAACACCAACATTTTATTTGGCAAATGTGTGCAACTGTAAAAAAACAAAAAAACAACAACAGAAGTACTAACAAGTCAGTGCCCAAAAAACATGGAACTTCACCTTCTGTGATCTTAATACAGTAAACACACATGCACTTTCCCAGGTTCTCCTCGTTGCTCCATGCTCATGCTTTGCTGTTAATGACCCTGGGCTTCGAGAATTCCCTCTCACATTAACACTGGACACTGGCAAGCTGACGAGATGAAACTCTGCCTGATCCAAAATCGGCCAATCAGCCAAATGTGAGTACCAAAAGAGACACGGTGCGGCGTTTCGAAGCACAACATATTTTGTGTACTCACTAAACTCTGGCTGCAGATCTTGCATGAAGCTAAAAACCCTACTTAGCCCACAACAGAACTTTTTTTTTAGGACCAGGAACTTGACACACTAAGCCCGATCACAGAAAGGACACAGATGTCCTGTCAAGGACAACCCAAGACCTCTTTTGCTGCATGTTGAACCTTGGAAGAGGGCAATCACTAAGAGGTCACACAATGTCGAACCTTTCAATGCCCTCTCTCCCCTGCCCCTCCCCCACCTCCCCCGCCCATCTCGACACGAACGAAAAAAAACAACAGAAAAGCAGGCCATTTTCGGTTAAAAAGTAATTTTAGAGAATGGATTCGGCTTACTTTTATCGGTTTAAACTGAAAATGCCGAACCTAAAAACTGACCTTTTCCGGTTAAAACCGAATTCCCTAGAATGGATTCAGCGCACTATTATAGATTTTTATCGGTTTAAACCGAAAACTCCGAACCCTAATTATAATAAATGAAATAAACAGGTCAGGAGTCAGCGCGAAAATGGTTAGCAATGGCACTTCGAAAAAGTTTAGAGTCAGTTATGGCAACAATCAAACCAGAAAGGCGGTTCCATTCTTTAGCTGTGCGTGATAGAAAAGGTGAATGAAATGTATTGATTAATGAGTTTGGGACTCCAACTTTGTGCTGGTTATCAACACGAGACAATATGTAAAAGGGGGGGAGTTATGAAATGGTCGCGTAATATTGGATTATGAAAAAAAAAATTTAATGGAGACGGCATAAGCGTGATATTTTACGTCGAAGTGAAAGAGATGGTAAAGTTAAAACTATCTTTCATTGACGAGACACTGGCAGTGCGGTGATAGTTCGATAGAATGAAACGGGCTGATCTATTTTGAATGGATTTTAAAGCAGTGACGAGGATATTGTGACCAGGATCCCAGAGGGAGGCTGCATACTCCAGTTTAGGTCTTATTAATGTTTTATAGAGGACCGATTTAAGCGAAACAGGCACCATGGAAAAATTATGTTTTAGATAACCCAGCATGCCGTTAGCAATATACTCAATATACTCAAGATATTTGTATGATGTCACTTGTTCTAAGGAGTTGCCATCAAGGTAGTACAAAGGACTGTCATTAGGTTTGCTGGATACTCTCATGTGTTTACCTTTACTAATGTTAAGTTTCATTAACCACGACTCACACCAATGAGACACAGAGTTAATACCAGACTGAAGAGTGGAAATGTCATGGTTACTTCGGATTTCATGTTATATTACACAATCGTCTGCAAAGAGACAGACAGATGAAGACATATTAACTGGTAGGTTGTTAATATAAATTCAGAATACTAAGGGGTCTAAGAGAGACCCCTGGGGAACACCAGAGTTTACTGATGCAAGTGAAGAGTTTTCATTATTGACAGTTACAAAAAAGAAAAAAATTGGACCCATGCAAGAACGTTGGGGTCAATGTTAAGTTTAGCAAGTTTCAGTAGTAATAGGTAGTTTATGACGCACTTTATTGAATGCTTTAGCAAAATCTAAGAAGATGCAGTCCACTTGGGAGCCTTGGTCAACGACAGAATGAATATTGTGGGTGAACAACAGAAGCTGGGTTTCACATGACAATGATTTACGAAGTCCGTGTTGAACTGGAGTGAAACAATTATTTGCTTCTAAGGAGTTTACAAGGTGGGAAAATATTATGTGCTGAGAAGTTTACATGGGATGCTTGTTAACGAAATGGGACGATAGTTGTGGGAAGAATGTTTACCACCAGCTCTTAGAATAGAGACCACTTTCCCCACCTTCTAGTCCGAGGGTATGTCGCCGTCTTGGAGTGATTGTTCAAATAACTTGGCAAGAATAAGGGAGGAATATAACTTGGTGCTTTTCAGGAACCTAGTATTTATGCCGTCCACTCCTGAAGAAGAAGACAATTTCAGCTCGTCTGAAATATTCACTATACCGATAGGGTCAACAAGAATAGCATCCATTGGTAAATAACCAGCACTCTCTATGAAGGGGTAGCTGATGCTGCTAGCATTGGAGAAGGATTCAGTAAATATAATATTTAGTATGTTAGCGCAGTCATCACTCGAGACACTATTCCCACTTCAAGTTTTGAGTGAAATTGAAAAACTGTCTTTTCTGTTGACAGTGTTCCAAAATTTTTTTGGGTCATTTATTAACATGTTTGGGAGAGTATTTGAGAAAAAAAAAAACTGATTTCGCATCTTCAATTACCTTTTTGTATATTTCTGTGGAACACTGATACGTAGCCCAGCGATGCTCACAGCTCACAACTTCGCAGCGCAGTATAAGCATTTTTTTTTTTTTTTGATAGTCGTTTTAGGGTTTTAGTGAACCATGGTGATTGGGGATTTTCGAATATATTTTTTAGTGGGACATGTTGATAAGAGATAAATTTACACTTTATGATATACCCAGTTATCTTCGACAGAACGCATAAAAACACTCGTCAAATACTGGTCCAAGAAAAAAGCTAGGTCATTATTAATTTGCTCAAAGTTGGCCTTACCGTAATCACGAATTTGTTTCGATTGAAAGGTGGGTTTAGTTACCGACGCTTTTAAGAAAAAAAAATGTAGCACTTTATGATCACTAATTCCTGCCAGATACATTAAGAAAGTTGCATATTCAGGATGATTAGTCAAAACGAGGTCTAATACATTGGCTGTCGACTAGGTAACTCTGGTGGGATGAAGAACCAATAGCGAAAGGCTGAAATTTAGACATAGATTAATGAATGAAATACCATCTGCAGAATGTACATCCCCCCAAAAAATGTCGTTTGACCATGGTATACTAGGGAAATTGAAGTCGCCGAGAAGAAAAATTGGTGAACCCGGAAAATGCATCACAGTAGTGTAAAGTGTATTACGTAGCGCTTCAACAAATGGTAACGAATACGAGGGTGGCCGATAACAAACTCCCATAATCCACTTTTTATGATTAACAAGTAGGCAAACCCACATTATTTCTAATTCACATACAATTGCACAATGTATCACAGTAGCCTGTAGCATTTTGGTAGTTAATGCACACCTTTGCAGTTTCTAGGAGCCGCTCTGCACCACTCTCACCAAGAAAGTATATGCTGTTGCAGGGAAATAACACTTCATTACCACCGCTGTGTTTTACTACATATAACCAGTATTTGAGTTTTGATGGTTAACTACATCAGATTTTTGAGCCATAGAAGAAGTCAGAATTCAGTCGGGATCGGTACTTCCTTTTACTATAACCGGAGTTTTACTACATGTGGAGTTACTGCAACGGGGTTCTACTGTATCACATTTCATGCATTTGTAGTTCTGATCATAGCTTCCTAGCTGTGGAAGGAGAGAACAAAACTGGAAGTCTCTTGTTTGTGCCAACAATGTCACATTTTAAGCATGTTCCGTATCTACACGATTGTAAGCCGACTCAATTGTAAGTCAATCCCCCGTCGTTGCACACCAAAAAAAAAAAATCTTTAGAAGCACATTTTATTGCGAACACGTGAAAACGGCCGGCCAAGTACTTGTTTCGAAAGCCCAGCCTCCAACACGTGATCAATGCCTTCTGGCATACTTTGGCTGCGCATGCACACGTGAGGTGCATGAGATACCCAGGCGTTATCGAAACTAGGAAATGCACGCTGGATGCGGGACAACTGAAGCTGCTCCCTGTCATTCTCACGCCGTCCGCCACTAGACTACGACTCATCCGCACTGCTGATGTCAGTCCCGTCATCATTACTGCTACATTCTCGAAGCACGTCTGCGGCATCATGCAATGAAATTTTTCACTTCGTAAATGACAGCATCAACCTCATCTTCCGCGCTTACTTGGCGATCGCATTGCACGTCTCGAGTAGGGACCGATTGTGCACTTTTGCAGCGTACGTTGCAAGCCTGACTTCAAACTCAGGAAGGCATCCCCACCTATCCAGACTTTGGCCTGCGGAAGCCTCTTGATTTGCAGACTCCACTGGAGCATCGCCCGCTCCGATGGGTTAAACTTGCGTCCAATAGTGAAGTCGTTGGTTGCTTCTGGGTGAAGAATGGCCATAAACGATCACCGAAAACCTAAACTGCCTGGATTGTGCATGTCAATACAAAAGGACGTAGTTAGTGCTCTAGCACGACCTTGACACTCAATCAACCTACGTGTGACCGTGAATCGTGCAAAAAACCGTGAAGAAAAGCTGCGGGGAGAGTGAGCCGTGAGGCAGTTCCAGCAACCTCCGGAGCGGCTCTTACAAGAAGTGTCGCCACCCCCGAACCGTGCGCTGTTCACCGCCGTACATTCGGGTTAATTTGCGAATCGCTATCAATAATACTCGTTAGCGCAAATACAAAAAAAAAAAAGAAAAAAATTGTAAAATGAGCACACAGAATTGCGCAATGCTAGAGGTACAGCCCGCTGAACTCGTAACAAGCCGAGGTGTTCATGATATTGCGATTGCTTCGTTTTTGCCGGCGACGGAAGGCTTTGGTTCGGTTATAAGTAGACCCCCCACTTCAGATTTTCAAAAATTGAAAAAAAGGGTCAACCTACATTTGTGTAAATACGGTACTAGTGTTTAAATAAGACACACAAATACCAAGAGTTCAAATGTGAACTGAATATGAGTATTTAAAACTCAATGCAAATCACGTGTGGTAATATTCCAATAGATTCGAATCCAAATGAAATTGATTATAATATTCAAATTGAATATGAACCAAACAATTTAAGATCAACTAAAAATACCCACGTTTTTCCTCGCAAGTTAAAAGGTTTGCATGAAAAATACAAGAACCTCAGCTTGATGGATTTACATCATAATTATTTTACGCAGCGTCGAATGGCTGTCGTCCAGATCAGCAGTTACAAGTGTAGGCTTCGCTACCAACCTAGCATCCCCATGGGCGAAAAATCCACTTGCCTGTGAATGTAGCCCCGAACATGAATGTAGTGAAGTGCAGAGAGCAGGTCCCTCAAGATGAATGACACCGCATACTCTGGGAGGCCCATTGGAAAATGAGTATTTAGGATGTCCCTCACCGACCCTGAAAAAAAGCGAGGCAGCAAGTTCCATCGAAGCAGCCCAACTTCCACAATGCTAATGACCATATGATACAGAAACACCCACAAAGGATGTTGTGGATATCCGAGAGATGACCCGACTACTGTTAAGTATTGAGCATGCACCCATGTCATAAATAAGTGCCCACACGCTACTTTTGAAACATTCTATAAACTAAACAAAGGACGTATCAAGTGCACAACCCAGACTTTCGAGCACAACTGGCTATTTGAGAAGCCCCTATGCCTTAGCCACTTCTCCGAAAACGCCGGTGCATTGCAATGAAGCTTAACGTACATGCTCCGGTTCTAAGCAGCGAGCCCACCCTACCTTGTGCCACTTCAGCATATTTATTCTTGGGCCTAAAGAGTGCCTACCCATCACCTTTTTTTTAAGATTATCTCCACCTTTTGGCTGGGCACCTGCTTGATACTTTACAATTGGCAAGTGCCTGAAGAAGTTTGCTTGCTGATATTTTTATTATCTATAATTAACCTACAGCATGTAAACTAACGCTTCTAAGGCACTTAGTCAGCTTGCAAAAATCGGGTTCTCAACGTATCGCGCTGCAATCTACTACAGAAGTGCAAGCAGCTGGTCGAAGGTCACAGTGAAAAAATCAAGGAATAAACTCACCTCAATCAAAATAAAATTAAAAAAAAAAAAACCTGCTCTGGGCAATCTATGTTGCCACTTTGCAGACAATGCACTCGTAGAGAGAAGTGTTGCCGACAGATAACGTACACTGCGTTGAGGGAGCACCGGCCGATTCGAGTTGATAGCAGACGATCTTGTGAAAGAACCCGAATCGGCCGGCATTCACTTGGTATATCATCTGTCAGCAGCACTTCTCTCTACGCGTGCATCAATTGCCAAGTGGTGCCATAAATTTCCCAAAACAGGTTTTCTTTTTTCTTCTTTTGAACGGAAAGTTCATTCCTCGATTTTTAGCACTGTAAACTTCCACCACCTGCTTGCACCTCTGTAGTAAATTGCGATAAGATAGATTGAGAAACCAGCCTTTGCGGGCCTTAAAAACGTTACTAGTTTACGCGCTGTACATGTTGCAGGGATTGTAGAAATCTAAAAATGTTCTGCATCCACACCAAAAGTGTTGGTGTGGGTGCAGAAAGGTATGTACTTGGGCAAGTTTGCTGTGCACTGCGGCAAGGACAATGAGTAGGGAGTTACGAAAAGCGTTTGGCTCATGCCGACAACCTCTAAGCCAACTGCCGTCGATGTCTCTTTGAGGTCGCATCAACGAGCAGACCACGTGCGACCTTGGCAAAATGCTTCCCAGAATTGGCTCGGAGGACCCTCGGCGTCGATCAAACATCTCTTGCTCCTCCCCGAATTGGCAATGGTCTATAGCCACTTACGAGGTGAGAACGGCAGGGAGGAGCTTTAGTCGTCCCGCTTCAAGCACGAGCTTCTACCTTCAACAACGCCTTAACGTCTCGAAAGACATGCCCTGCCATTCTCATTCTGTCAGTGACCATAGAGACATCGTTGTTCCCAGGGCCTGCAGCCGTGAGGACTAAAAAGCTTTCGACGGGTCTCATACAAAATCATTTGTGCATGTCCGCCAACTTACCGTATGTCATGACGGGCATGACAGCCCATATTTCGTTGCCCTTAACAAATGTGCAGAAGTAGGGGATGATGTTCTCATGCCTCAGCTGCCTCGTCACCCATATTTCGTGCTGCGAGAAGAACGGCGCAGTTACGGGTGGGACTGTGACCAAAGTGGCAGGCTCTGCCCAGAATCTATAGCTAGGTAAAGCTATGACACAAAGCTATTGGAGAGCAGACAATTGGAAGTACACGCGAATTACCATATTTCCCAGTTGTTTTCAGAAAAAAGTAGGTTTACAGTATAAACTCATTATAACAGACCTTGATAGAAGATTTTGGCCTCTTGTAAAAGGAGTACCTATCCAAATGACAGATATTCTTACAATGGACTTTGACGTGGATTAGGACTAGAGTCTGTTCTAACCACAGAGACTGATCAAACATGGATGAATACAAGAAAAGAACTGGCTGACTTCTGAACTTTTAAGGGTAGTGATTTTTTATTGATCTGCCCTGATGATCGTCATCACTGTGTGCTTTCGGTCATACAAGGCTTGTGAGGCACCGGGCACAATGACATCAGTTCACAAAATAGATGCCACCGCTACCGAACCAAAGCAGCATAATGTTTGAGCGATGTCAAAGAGTGCACTATATTGGAATGGTGAGCTACTTACAAATTCTTTAATATATCGTAAAGTTCTAAGAGAATGCTTGCCCCCGAGAGATCACCCATTCTATTTTTCTGGCTAAATATCGAACATAAAAATTCCGAAACATCACCCTCCCAGAAATCGCACCAACTGCGCAATTTTCTGTACCGGCACGTCTGACAAGCAAGTTCATAGCAGGTTCCCGCGTTTTTGTCCACGACCTGCACACGCAATATCGGCTCTTATAACACGCGAGTTAATTCCGAGCGTATGTTGCACTGTGAAATGTGAATCTGCTGCGTCCGCAATCTGTAGTATCAATTTCCTTGACATAAAGTTTGTAGCAGATTCCTGCATTTTTGTCCTTGATCTGCACTCGCAATCTCAATTCCACGCAAGTTGGTCTCTCGTGTAGGTATATTGCATCGTGAAATACGACTCTGCTACATTCGTGATCTGCGGTATTTGTTCCCGTAACATACAAGTTCCTAGTGGATTTCCGCAGTTTTGTCCCCAATCTGCACGTGCAATATCGGTTCCCGTGACAGGCAAGTTTAGCGGGTTCCCATGTGTTTATTGCACCACAAAACTTGAATCTGCTGCGTCTGCAACTTGCGGCATTCGTTCCCGTGAGATACGAGTTCTCGGAGGGTTTCCGCGGCTTTTTGCGCCGTAAAACGCGAATCTGCTGCATCCGTAACCTGTGCTATCCTTTCCCGTAAAACAGGAGTTCGTAGCGAATTCCCGCGTTTTGCTGTGGTGTCCCCAAAGATAGCTCGCCCCATGCTTTTCATGACTTATTCCTTCATTTAGGGTGGTCGTTCTTTCGTAACTTTACGGTAGTCCATTATATATGAATGTATGTCATAACAAAATCTGTAATAGGCAAAGTTGGCTCGATGGCAAAGACAGGAAGACCAACCAAACTTCATAAATTAGTACGTTATAACCAAATGTCTGCAGTAACCAGATCTGTTGTAACGAGGTTATACTGTATAAGTCACTCTTTATATATTTGATGGTTGGCACGGCGAGACTGCACTGGTAAGCCTGCACATGCATATTGTGATTGTGATATATATATGCAAGTGGGAATCAGTTTCAATATTCTAGCCAACAAATTGAACGAGAAATATAACCTTCGTGCCAATTTGCGCAGTTAAGGTTCATACCACTACTTAAAAAAAAGGAACACATATGGGTCGCACCGCCATGCGAAACACACCGACACAAATTTTGTAAATAAAAGAACATGACTTGTACAACAGGAGATATGGTAATTTCTAGATTGTGAGGCCCATACCTCCACTTGTGCAATGTCCACACCTAAGGCATCCAAGTTTGTTCGTTTTACCGCAAGTCGATGGCCAGAAGGAATGTGCTTAGAAAGCGAGACAATTGCTGTACTGTTGAATCCCCTCCCTGAAAGGAGAGTGAAAGGTTCATGCTTTGGACACCATTCTAGTATAAAAACTGTACAAAACTAACACATCGTAATAGGACTGCTCTGCCGTTATTATATAAAATCAAAGAAATATAGCAAAAAACCTAAGAGCAAGGACATTTGTTTGTTGGAAGTTTTCAACACGGCTGCTAGGTCGAAAACAAGACGTGAAGGAGGTCTCTCAGCCAACGCCGAGATTGCTGAAAATGTACTCACCAATCACAGACAAGAGTTCAAAGTTGCCGACGCTAGCTTCATACTTGATCATGTCGGGATTCTTCTGCACAAGTGGAATTGCCTCAGAAAAGTTGGAGGCCTCCGACTGGGAAAAGAAGAAAGTGAGCAAGTCACAGGAAAATCGACTACAGGACTCAAGGGCACTTATTGGGTCATCAATTGATAAAAGGTAGCTCCTGAAGCTGATGGCATGGTAACCATGTTATCACTAGGCAGCAAAACTGCCCAAGATCTATGCTTGGGAACCCAGCTTATAAATTTCCATCACAAGTCACACCCTTCCAACTATGGCTTAGAAAGTCTGGGGTTTGTTTAAAACAAAATATGTTTATTCCAGTTTGATGATTGCAACAAAAGCTAAAGGTGCTAGTGAGAGGTACTGGCAGAATGGCAAAAAGTGAAAGCCAAGGAAGAGTGCAATCTGATTTACAATATGAAACATATCCTTGTTATCTAACACATTTAGGACGCACATATGTAACTGCCAGGTGCAGCATCATTAAAGCCGTGGAAGTACTAAAAGGACACAATAGGTGTCATAAAGGGACTTGTTAATTCTAGACGCCAAGTAGTCAATGTAAGAGAACAAGTGTCTAGCTTAAAGGGACCATAAAGATATTTGTCCAGTTCAGTTACCGAGTGCTAGAGGTGAATACTTCACATTCATAAAGCATACAACCAGTGGTGTAGACTTTCCATTTTCCTGGGGGGGTGGGGGTCTTGGTAAGGATCATGACCCAGAAGGGGGGGGGGGGGGGGGTGCCCCCCCGTAGTCTACGGCTATGCATACAATTGCATTTATCTTTGTTTACAGATCCCGATTTTTGAAGAAGGAGCATCTACAAGTATCATATTTCTCAATTAGCCATCTCAAATCCAAACAGGTGGCCATACCCTTTATTAAAACCGATAAAAGAACAATCTCTCAATGATGACTACTATACTTAGTTGGGCTAGACGGATTACCCATCACCGAAGCCTTATAAGTGGGCAAGGGTAAGTGGTGAATTTAATGTGCAAGTGGAAGAACAGGTAAACTGGGGGCCTCCCAGGTGAAAGCATGTGCTAGACTGACAGGAAGGTGAATGAATGAACAGAGAGAATAGATCAAGAGCTTTAGAAGCATTTTGATGCCCAACAAAATAGAAAAAACACTTCTGAGGAAACTTTTATGCAGAAACTGAGCAAAACATAAAAAAACAGTCAGCCTTTCCGCTCTGGTGAAGAAGGAAGACCAGCAAAGCTGTACTATAGTGGAAATGTAAAGATTAAGGTGCGATCGGGTAATTGCATGGTTATTTGAACGATCAAAGAATCAGACATATATATAATGATTTGGGGTTCTTATTCATTTTGTTACCACAGTGACCATGGCGTTGTGATCGCTGTGGTACACTGCCATAGGATGCACGCTGACGGCAGGCACGTTCTTTGTGACGACGAGGTGTATACACGTCCGTCCAATGGCTGGTCGTGGGCATCATAGCTTCGTTCACACACGCCAGCCCGAAGCGCTCGAGCATAAACAAAGTGAACCACTTTCCCCCCTGGCGTGCAACATCAACGTTGAAGTCACCCGTCACTACGGCAGACGTTTTGTCGCCAAGCATGACCCAGCCGAAGACGTCCATCATGAATGCTTCAATGTCTCTCCTGGGCGTCGCGGGAAAGGGGAGGGGGGAGGGGGGGGACGTACACGACGGCGACCACCGGACCATCGCGCATTTTGACGGAAAGGCTGGAAAGGTTGCTGCCATCTATGAGCGACAGTGGCAACCAGATTGGTTGTCTGGTTACCGCCGTCGCTCATAGATGTCGGTAGCTGTCCAGAGCTTTGTGTTGACATTTGTTTGGTACCGGACACGAAACTCAGGAAACTAGCCCTTAACAGTTCCGCTGTAAAAAGGGGACCCGGCCAAGTACTACTTTCAACTGTGTGCCCTTCGTGTTCGTCTCTGTGTGCACATACAGGCTTTCTCAGCATCATGCACCAACTAGCCATACAAAAAGTCTTATTAAAACCCTTCTACAACAGACTTTGAGACTGCTCGCATTACACAAAAGTTGGAATGATGACCTAATGACATAACTGCAGAAAGGTGAAGAATATTATCCGTTTCCTCTGAAGACAGCTTCTCTTTCATGGTCCCTTTAAAACAGATTTCATGTTTTTATTACAGAAGGAAGTTCGACCATACTTTTGGTTACAATCAAAGATAGGAGTTTTCTCATTCGGGGTAGTATCTCCTGAATTCTTTAAACCTTTCTTGCTGTCAGGAGGAGCGGTGCATGTATTTTATCCCTCAGCTCATGACTAACAATACGTTTCTCGTATTGTTAGTCATGGTTTCCGCTGCCTTGGCGTCATTTTGCGGTTGACAAGAAAAGTTTTGTTCTCCTGAGTGTCTGTTAACCTTGTACTGTGCACTTGTTAGATCAAATCTTGAGTTTGCGTCCATAATATGCAACTCTATTGCGATGTCACATAGCGATTTCATTGAAAATGTTCAGCATAGATTTATATGAGTTTTATGTGATAGACATATTGGCCGCAGTTGCTTTTACGGCGACAACTCTCTTTTGGAGGACCTCAATCTTTTAACTTTGCATGATAGAAGAATTGCTAGAGATATGTACTTTTTACATCCGGTTGTGTATGGTGCTATTGACTGTTCAGAGTTGTTGATGGCCTTGAGATACCGTGTGCCCTCTGGGCGATCATCCAGCTGCCGAGAAACTTGTTATCCTAACATGCGATCAATCTGTCCGATGACATGATTGCAACAAACCTATAATACCTTGTTTTTAGACGATTACATTTTTGCTCGATTTTATTACTTGAGTAACATACATTTTTCTAATGTATTCACTCTTTGGACAGTGCACTGCCACCCAGGCCTTTTGGCTGTTGGCAGGCACTTAATAAAATTATATATCTATCTATCTAACATAGACTGACAGAAGACATTGCTTTTAGCTGTTAACCACCACCTCTCTGCCCTGCACTACAAAATAAATCGGTGTAAAACCTTATTTTTGAAGTGCCTCTTTTTATTTCACACTTGAGTTGTGGAAGAATCATCTGATTGAACACACTTCGGAACAGCATGACACATTTCTAGTAAAAATAAATACAAAACATTGAGGCATAGTGAATAAGCAGTTGCATGGCCATTATGAGCCTTGCTTTCCCCTAGAGCACACTATGTATTCAATTCGCATCAGATGTCGAGAGTTTGGGGGACTGAAGACGAGCCGATTCCCAGAACCGGTGAAGGGAGACGCGTGAGGCAAAGAAAAACAGGAGGAAAGAAAAGAGAAGCAGAAAGAAGAAGAGCATGTAACTTACAAGAACTCAAAGGTGAGGGGGGACAGCAGGCCTGAATGATGCTGAAGCAAACACGAGAAGGAAAGGAACAAAAGAAAAAAGAGCTGTGGTATAAGTCTCTGCCAACATGCTGCCGCACAGAATGAAGTGGTGCCAGTAAAGCTCATGATATCAACCAGGAAAAGGTGCTGCAGACTGTCTTCGAGACAGATGGTAAAAAGCAGAGGATCATCCAATTTTGACAAAAAAGAATGATGCATATTAAGCACTACAATCAGTGAAATGTTTATACTCAAACTATTAAAGACAGCCACCATGGAACTCGGAATAACATCATGTTAGACGAGCTCTGATTACCATATTAAAGCCCTTATGTAAGTGCAGTAACCAGTTTTGCGGTGGTTTGATATGCCGTAGCTTTCCTTTCAGTACTTCTAATGTATTCAAAGACACTTTTATCCAAAGACATTGCAGCTGAAAAAAGGATTCCAAAGATCAAAGTGGCGATGCAGGCGAATTGGTTCATGATACAACTCAAACAGTGCACAAATAACAAACAAATAACAAATAATTTTGTTAAAGCAATGGTGTAGGCAAGCTGGTTGAGTATAGACATTTTAACGCTGGAGAGTGGGGACAAGGAGAACAGCAAAAACACAAAGCTCCAAACACAGCCAACGTTTATTCCACGCGTCATGACCTTATATAGATACGTACACAACGAAGAGAATCCAAAAGACCAAAAAGGAACACAACCACCCTGACAAACTTGAACAAAGTGAAACAACCTCAAAACTCGGGCCAGGTGCACAAATAACTTATTTGTGCACTGTTTCCAGTTGGATTCCAAAGAAGTTGCATTTTTTGTGCAACAGGAAGTCCATCTTGTGAATCCTATTAAGCTTGCAACTATGGAAATGTTTTTAATATCTCGACACTGAGTCCATGGTCAGGTCCATGGCCCAGCATTGTTAGATAAACTCTGCTGCGGAATTGTACTCTACAATTCCGCAAGCTTCCGTACCGCCTGGGAGAAGTCACATACTCCCCGTTAGGAGCAATTATCATTGACTACCCCCTGTCCCACTTTTGACAGCAAAATAAAGCTTTTGAAACGCCTTAGACTGCTGCATAAGGTCAAACATTAAACAAAATTAAATGAAATTGACATATTAAATTAAATCAAACCGATCTCAAGCATTCACACCTTTCCATAGCACAAACTGCATCTCTATGAATGCAACATACTTATGGCCACGGGACTGAATATATCAAATAACACTCACGGTATGTAACAAATTCTCAGATGGGAGTAATCACGTCCTATATACCTTTTCACCTCAGTAGTTACCTGACCGGTGGACAGGGGGCGCAGACAAATGCAGCGCCATAAGGTGGCTTCAATTTGGTTGGTTTCGGTTTTGGAGGGCTCGCGGCTGTGTTGGTGTGTTATGCCGTTTTTGCTTAGTTTTGCAATATAAATGTATCCCTTATGGTACAGAACCAATGATACAGAGGTAATCGGCCACCTTGAGAACTATGACATAGTTACGAGCATAAATTGTGGATGTTTTAACGAGCACCTTCATCTGATTATGTTTCTTGTTCGGACAGGTGAGGCAGCGAAATGACTGAAATGATGCCGGAGGATGGTTAGCGATGTATATGGCCATACTGGATGCACCCGCCGATACTAGTTTCTATAAAAAATAAACTAATGAAGAGACTAATGCATGGAGGTAGTGATAAAGTAGGTATACGGCCTACCTAACAATGTGCTGAATTGCAGAGAACAGACGAACTTGCAAGTTTAGTGCTCACTGGTTCTCGAGGACACCAATGTTTTGTGAAAATTGGCACAGCAGTTGGCACAATAACTTGGGGGAAAAAACATGCCGGTAGTTGTCCCCTATTGGGTCTTGTATAAAACGAATTGTGAAAACGAGTATCTAAAGCTGTAGAGTAGCTCAGTGGAAATGTGTCCGCCTCACACACAGTGGACCCGGGTTCAAACTGGAAAGCGGGCATACTGTTTTTTTGTTTTTTTTTAAACATTTGGCGATATTTACACATTTCTTTCTTGCAAATATTACTGAAAAGAAATAACCCAACAAATGTTGTGGATGAAAAGACACTGAACTAAATAGTATGGGACTCCCCTTCTGGGTGTGCAATGGGAGCAGCGGGGCTTGGGCCACCGCGAAGCGGCGTGTATGGATGGGCCAAGTTGGTTAGTATTTTTCTAATGAGGAGCCGCAGAGTGTCGCTGCAAAGCGGCGTGAACGCAGGTTGGGGGGTTACATGCTCCCCAATGATATGCGCGCCGTTCAAAACTGCTGGCATTTTTTTCCCCGGGCTATGTGCCGGCTGTACTTCCGATGTAGTTACAACGAAGGTAGTTACAAAACAAGGAGCTGAAATGTTCGTCCGTCTGCTGACAATATAAATGTTTTTGTGAGCTACTATTTATAACAATTAGTGCGCAAGTGTCATAAAAAGCAGTTCTCAAGGTATACCAGTCTCAACAGTAGCTAAAAGGCAACACAATCTTTAGCTGCTGCCCACCTTTTGTTTCCAAGCTGTGCCCAAGAATAAGTGCAAGATACAACCAGAGCGATAACTGCTTAGCGATAACCTCTCTAGATTAGACGATAATGTAACCTGCTGTCGATAGGGTCGAGACATCCGTAGGCTCGGCTCCAGCCACAAATCGGTTGTACCCACCCCTCCTCCTCATATGTAATCTGTTTCCGTGTGCCGTGTACAGTCCGTCGGGTTACAAACGCACTTCACGTATTGGTGCGGCCCACTCTGAAGCACACCATAATAAGACAAGCGCGATGATTGAGACGACTGCACCTTATTTCCCGACAGACCGACAGACGAAGAAAAAAACGTACCAAATGCTGGTAAAGTGATTCGTCATTGGTTCGGATGTCTTCTCCCGACGACACTTCGTTGCGAGAACTTCTACAGCGACACTTGAACTGGGAAAGAAGGGAAAATAAATAACAGTAACAGAAAGAACGCGAACGCTCAACTCGCGGCGTGAAGTTATATAAACAAAATAAAAAGGCGACGGAGGCTTGCCAAAAGGGATCTCTCACCAGACATGACATCGAAGTGCCTCAAAACGCGGATGGTGCCTTCGATAATGAATTCATGTGGGTTTCCAAATCCCGACGAACTGTGCGAAATTTTCGAAGGGCATCTGAATACCTAAGAGAAAAAAACAAACAAAATAAATCGCGGGTGAGGAACGGGGAATGTGAGGACGAGCGCAAGGCGTGCGCTTTTTCCCGTCGACTACGTCGCTACGCCCGGTAGCGGAGACGTAAAGCGAAAACTGACGTGCGGTCGGGTTGTAAACAGCCGTGCCTAAAAGCACAGCTCGCAGAAAGTTTCCATGCTTTCGAGTAGCCGAGTGTGGGCAGTGTGGGGGGGCTTTAAAACAGCGGCGTCAAGAGCGATGGTCGAGGAAGAGCGCAAAATTCGCAGCACGAACGCAACGAGGCGCGTTCAAACCGCTACCGGAGTTACATATAGAGAAGAATACTTAACTTTCTGCTTAGGCAACTCTTATCACTGATATAATTCGTTTCTAATTCAAATACCTACAAAACAGGAAACATTCCCCCATATCGAAATTTCAGGGTTGCTAGTTGCTTGTTGAGATTCTGCATCTCGCGTCAAGCCCGCCAGGTCTCTTCATGCACGTTACGGTATGCTTAAACATACGATAATATAATCTTACGGATGTATTTAATAAATTTGTTATGTTTCCTTGCTGTTAATGCAGCACTTGCAAGCTGGCCGCGTGCCTCGCAAACAAGCAGCTTTCATTTTGTCATTCGATTTTGAATCCACATGCTGAAATCCAATCCAGTAGCCGAAGCACGTGAAGCAAAGCGGAGACAGCGGAGACACACGGAGACACCGCATGCGGGTTTTGTAGAGTTGAGCGCGCCGGAGCCGCTGAAAATGGGAGAAACGGCTCAGATTCAAGCGAAATTCTTCACCAAAGACGAAAGGTACTCCGTGCCAGATACGCCGTTCTCTATAGCCGGCAGTACAACACCCGAGCAGCTCTCTTCACTTATCAATGCGCTGCTCAAGGAGTCCTCGGCATCGCCGGATCAAGATGAGCAGCCCGTGTTCGACTTCCTCATCAACGGGGAACTGCTCCGGCTCACGCTCGAAGAACACTTGGAGACCAAGGAGATCCCGCAGGAGACGATCGTTCACCTCGAATACCTCGAGAAATGCCCGCCGCCTTCGCCCGTCGACAGCCTGATCCACGACGACTGGGTGAGCGCGGTGCACGCTTCCGAAGCCGGCATCCTGTCCGGCTGCTACGATAACACTCTGCACATCTGGGACACCGCGACGGGGACGCGGAGGCTGACGATACCAGGCCATCTGGGACCGATCAAGTCTGTCAAATGGGTGGCGGTCGCCGAGCCGCTCTGCACCTTCGTGAGCACGTCGCACGACGAGACAGCCATGCTGTGGCAGTGGGACAGGCACACCAACGCCGTCGAATCAGTGCAGGTGTGCCGGGGTCACGCCCGCAGCGTGGACTGTGTCGACGTCAGCTGGAACGGGGCCAAGTTCGTGACGGGCTCCTTCGACCACATGCTCAAGGTCTGGTCAGCGGACCCCGACTCCACAGACACGGACCACGGGCAGGACGGCTCCGAAGAGGGAAGCCGGAAGAAGCAGAAGACGGTGGACGGCAAGGCGAAGACGCGAGTGCCCGTGCTCACCCTCGCGGGCCACCACGAGGCCATCACAGGTGTCCAGTGGACCGACGAGGCAGAGGTGGCCACCTGCTCCATGGACCACACACTCCGTATCTGGGACGTGGAACTCGGCGGCATGAAGTCTCAGCTGGCGGGCTCCAAGGCCTTCCTGGGCATCTCCTATTCCAGGCTGAACCGACAGATTGTGTCGGCCTCCTCGGACAGGCACGTTCGCCTCTGGGACCCGAGGACGAAGGATGGCACCATCGTCAAGTGTAGCTACACGTCGCATGCGGGCTGGGTGTCGGCCGTCCACTGGGCTCCCAACTCGGACCACCAGTTCATTTCGGGCTCGTACGATACGCTCATGAAGCTGTGGGATGCGAGGAGCCCCAAAGCGCCGCTCTACGACATGTCGGGACACGAAGACAAGGTCCTCGCCGTAGATTGGTCGCTGGGCAAGTACATGATCAGCGGCGGTGCCGACAACCAATTGAAAATCTTCGAGCACAAGTAACCTCATCACATGGCTCATGAGTGGGGACGACTACCTTCATAATATTCAATCTGGTCTGCTGGCATTGTGGCTCCGGCCGACAGCTGTCTTTGCTGCGAGAATAAAAGGACTCTCATGTTCGTATGCCACTTTAACAGGATGTGGCGAACCCAATTGAAGACTCTTATTCTATAAAAGAAGACATACTTTTGCAATTTAGTTTTCTGAATATGTGCGTATGTGATATAATAAAACAATGTCCGGAAGTCCATTTCAAGCTGGAGTGTTCTTTCTCCAAATAAGCAAAGCGAAATGGCCAATGCCCCAGACAACTTTCACAAATACAGAAAAGTGAATTCCACATTCCCAATTGATAATGGGTACAGGACGGGCTTGTAGAAACTGTATTGGCCAAGACTGAAAGAAAGCACCAAGCCTGGGGCATGCAAGCGCTCAAATCTTGACTTCACATGCCACTCCGCTTGTGCACTAGCTTTGACAACGCTATCTATCGCACCATCTTGGCTAAAACCGTTCCTAGCATGCCACCTCACCATTGGCTGATGGTATCCTTCCAAATCTGCTTTTCCAGTTATACATCCTAGATGAACTTCACGGTGCCAGAAACCACCCAAGGGAAAGTGGCTAGAGGCTGTCATGGCGACATAGTCAAGATGCAAAAAAGGAAGTTTGGCGCAATTCTGGTGTAAGTGCAGGCGCAAGCCTGCAGCTCTGATAAGTGCTTAGGCCTCATATAACCACAGTGGAAGCACTGCCGCCTTATGCTCATTGCTGCTGGAGAAGGTTCAGCAATGCATGTAGATGGGTTATTCTCAAATGCAGCACAAAACACACATGGCCAAGTATTGTCTGTGTGCCATTGCACTGCTCTCTTTGTGTCAAGAACATATTAAAATGACGACGCAAATGTGTCGTCGCAGTTGAGCGATTGATGCACGATTCAATGAATGAAAGAAATGAAAAAAATTGCTACTTCTGCACATTTTGGTCTATCTTTTTGTTATAAAAAGAATAAGCCTGCAGCTCTTTAAGAAAAACGCTAAAAAGGAAAAATATATTTTAAAAAAACCTAAAAAGATTACAAATATTACAAAATAAAATTTTTCACAAAGAAAGATATTTTTTTATAAAATTATTTACAGTTTTAGACTTGTTTTAGTTTATAGCTTTCAAACGTGCTTGCCATAGCTGTGCCCCTTAGTCTGCGATGTCAATCCGACTCCTAACAATTGAAACCGAATGCAGCAATTACGAACAGTGCAAAGTTATTTGGTGTTGTGGCACATTCCACAATTAATAATAAAATACTAATTATTTAGAAAAAAAAAACAAAAAAACTAACGATTTTAAACAAAATTAATGCATATGTGACAATCTGCTCCCCATACAGGGCATATCGTTGATCATGCCCACTCATAACCACAAGCTATCAGTTGGTGTTGTCTATCCCATTTTTCTTTAAAACGCCATGTCTAGAGCACTAACAACTCTTGCAGGGCATTGAAGTGCCATCCGAAGGTGTTAAACAAAAGTTTCTGTTATTCTTCCAAGTGTTCCCTTAGTCATTCACCACGAATTTATCATAAAGTTAGAGCGAGGCAGACACCACAAGAGCGAGCAGCATGCTTTCCTGCCTATGTTTATGCCTGCGCCGTAAGCAGGCGTGGATGCAGTTGCTTGCAGTGGGGGGCTCTGTAAATCAAATGTATAAGAAAACATGCCTCCCCCCCCCCCCCCCCCCTTCGTCTTTCTCCACCCCAAATTTTTACACATGCGAAATTCAAAAAACACCTTGACTTCCCCTCTAAATCCGCCACTGGCCATAACTAATTTCAGGTATGAATAAAATGAGAACAGCGAAGCGTGTGGCCTATAATACATGCTGCACAACTTAGAGGCAACTAAAAACTGATAAAACTGCAAAGTGTAGAGAAGGGCTACGAGTGTTTGCACATTGGTGCAGGAGCGCACCCTCGCAGCCCCCTTTCCAGCCCCATAGTTCTACCAGTTTCTAGTTGCCTCCAGGTAGAACAGCACGCATCAAAGGCGACGTGCTCCGCTGTTCACATTTCATGTGTACTTGAGGGGACATGCACGCAGCATGTTGTCGCAAGTTACAATTATGTAATTTATGATAAATTCAAGTTTGGATTTCATGTTCTTTCGTGGCAACAGCCGCTATATTAAGTGGAGCAGCTAAAAAAAAAAAAAAAAACATTTGTCCAAAATGCATGATATTGAATCTGTATATTCAATAGAAAACGAAGACTGCTAGGCCGATTCAACACAGAAAATTAAAAAAAACGTAGTGTCTAGAGTACCGTCCGACGACACTCTTGCAGAGCGTTCAAGTGCTGTCCAACGGTACTCCACTCACGCGTTTTAGTGCCGTTCGAAAGTCTCATACAGAACAAGTTCTAAAAACGATTCTTTCGAAGCGGAGTGTAGCATCTCACAGCAAGCGATCCCGGGTTCGAACCCCCGAGCGAGCATACTTTTTTGTTTTTGTTTTCTCTAACATTTTATTTTGCCGACACATTTGGCAATATTTACATTTATTTTTTTACGATTCACACAGGAAAAAACGAATGTTGTTGCCGAAATTTCGCTAAACGAAATGGTATGGGACTTCGTTTCCGGAGGCACATGGGGCACCGCGGGGTTTGGTTTGCTGGCTGGACGCCGCGAAGCGGCGTGTATGACGGGGCCCAATGAGTCAATAGTTTTGTAATTAGCAGCCGGATACTGTCGCCGTGAACGCAGGCAGGGGGTGTGTTAATGAGCTCCCCACTAATACACACGCTGTCCGACTCTCTTTCGAACGGCACTTGTAGGCGCGATTGGAGTGCCGTCAGACGGCACTGTAGACACAGCCTAGAAAAAAAGGGTATACTCATTTCGGTCGAATTATTTTGATAGCATGCTGTCATTTGCTAACAGATGGCATTCAGAACGCTCGGTAAGAGCATCGTCGGATGCAGTGGCCCAGGCAGAAAGGGAGTTTCGGGGTCGAACCTCTCTCTCTTCCCCTCCCCCTCTCCCCCCCTTCGCCCTTCTCTTCACGGAAAACTCAATAGCAAATAAAACTTTAGTTGGGGCTAGTTGGTTTTTATCGATTAAAAGGCACAAACAAACAGGACGAAAAAAGACACAGGTACGACACGGACAGGCGCCAACTTCCAGCTGATTTATTGAAACATGAATCATCGTCAAACTCGATCCCAATTGCCTAAACACAAGCAACGGATAAAAACTCTTAACGCTCATTACATGCATCCCTCAAGAAACACAATTTCTTTGGTTAACATTTGTTTAACAGATAAAGAGATGGCATGCTTACAAAAGAGTGGCATTTGTATTGGTTCTTCTGCGGCACCTGTTTTGTGTGACATTTATCTTTCTGCCATGGACAAGCGCATATTGGGGGCTCTTGACGAGATAAATGTGGTCAAGATCTTCTGCTATGTGGATGATTTTCTCGTTATTTTGGGGAAATGTACAGCGAATTGTATGGAACATGATGTGGCAGAAATTGTTAATTTGTTTAGGTCACTGTCCGGCGGACTGAACTTCACTTGGGAATGATGGCAGTATTCAGTTTCTAAATTTACAGCGTTTTATTAAGGATCATTTGTGCTGGAGTTATAATCCACGAACTAAGAAAGGCCTCCTTTCTTTCAGCAGTGCCCACTCAAAGCTTGTAAAACGGGGAATTGCATCCACCTGCCTTCACGCAGCCATTACAAAAAGCTGCCAGCATAGACTGCCACTCAGCTTTTATCAGCAGGTTGCACGCATGACGAGGGCCGGTTACCCGAAGAGCTTAGTGACAAGTGTGTGTGAAAGGCTCCTACAGAAAATTAAACGAGAGGGTGTTGACAAATGTCGTGAAAAGACAGACAAGATGCCAGTGCAGGTGATAGCATACTTGCACAAAGTGCCCCACAATTTAAAAAAGATAACTGTTAGACACAGGGTTAACGTAGTCTTCTCAGCCCCGTGCAAGCTTTCAAAGATATGCTCCGCGATGACAAAATGAAAGTTTGTAGTGTGCTAAAGAAAACATGTAACAAGACACACCGAACGCGTGACTAAGATGGTTTATGAGATTCCTTTTAGTTGCGGCCAAGTTTACATCGGTCAGGCTGGCCAATGCTTTAATGAAAGAGTACGCAAACACAAGCTTGCCGTACGCAATAATTCAGGTGGCCATCTTGCGGAGCACTGCAAACGATGTGGGTGTGAACCTTTGTTAGAGCGCACAAGGTTTATCAAGAAAGGGAATAAGAAGATGGAAAGAGAACTAATCGAAGCTTCCTGTATACACAAAGCGGCTGACAGATGCGTAAGCATGCCATCTCTTTATCTGTTAACGAAAGAAATTGTGCTTCTTAAGGAATGCATGAAATGAGCGATAAGAATTTTTATCAGTTGCATGTGTTCAGGCGATTGGGACTGAGTTTGACGATAATTTGTGTTTCAATAAATCAGCTGGAAGTTGGCGCCTGTCCGTGTCGTACCTGTGCCTTTTTTCGTCCTGTTTGTTTGCGCCTTTTAACCTTTTAATCTATAACTAACCCCTCCCCCCAAAATAAAGTTATGGCTACAGCACTCGTCAGATGGCTCTCCCGATACTGCGTTTTTGAATACCTGTCTATGCTTAACGTTCCTGCCTTCGTGGGTCTCGGAAGCTCAATGAAACTTCCTACAGTCGGCAACAGAATGAGGCAAGGTGTGTCTCTGGAACCCCTGCCTTTGGCACACGCTTGAGGTGCAGACGACGACGAAGCGCTGTCGAAAGTACGAAGCTCGCGCTGGAGGCGGGAGAACTGGACCTCTTCCCTGTCATTCTCACCCTGCCAGTGACAAGGCTTCATTTCTAGGGCAACCAGCAGCGTGACATTTACTGGACAACGAGCACGTGTATAACGAGTTTCATAATGCACAAGCGCGCTTAGCTCCAGAATGAATCTTTCAACGAAACGGTGCGACGTCACGTCGGCCTGAAGCGCCTGGCAGCTTTCATGAGCGAGATTCGGCGCTTGTCCTCTTCGAACTTCTTCCGGAGCTGCGCGATGTGCTCCATCTTCGACTCCCGTATCTGGAACGAGTAGAAGTTGAGCAGCTCCTTCTGCGAACGTTTCTTCTTCTCCGCGGCGCTGATCTTTCGGTTCACGGCGTCCGTCCTCGGAATGACGGGCCGCTTGCCGTACTTGGTGACGGTGATCCAGCCTTCCTCGTCCGGAACGCCGTCCATCTGCTTCGCCCGTGCTTTCTCCGCTTCCAGCCTCTTGTCGTAGGCGGCTATGAACACGTCCACTTCTTTTTGGAGCGCCTCGGTGTCGACGAACCGAGACTTGTACTCGTTGCACCACTTGGCGAGGCCAACCGAAGCGGCGGGACTGCCTTCGGGGAAGAGCACACGTGGTTCGGTGACGGACAGGGCCAGCGCGCGCTTCACGGAGTTCTCCTTGAGGAACACGACGTAGGCGACCATGAATCCTGTTACGGGAGAGGCGTTCGGGAAGAAGGTCGTCGTACCGACGTCCGGTTTTGCAGCGGCCGACGGCGTTTTCTGGATCCAGACTTTGACCACTTTGCCGCAGTCACCGAAGACGCGCTTCAAGCACTCCTCGGTGCAGTACGGTGGCACGTTCACGACAAAGAGGGTCCTGCTAGGGGGCTTGAGGTCGTCTTTTTCCCTTACGTTGTGTTCTTTGAAGAATAGTGTGTGCGAAGAACGCGTTTCACTCGAAAACGTCACTGGAAGTGTTTGAAAACCTCCCATCCTGGAAGTCGCCATGTTTGCACAGCAAATAAGAACGGGTGGATGGAGCATACAAGCTCTCTCTACAAGATGGATAATTAAAATACCTCGAACTCGGTTTAGAGGTAGGCGGAATATCGCGGCGCCTAGCAAGTAAGCTGATAGCTTATTTATTTGAAATAGTCACGTTATATTCATTTAAATTATTTTTTTTTCATAAAATTAACACAAAAAATAACAAAAAGGTAACCAATGCACTTAAGGTCAGCAGAGTTGAACGTCACATAAAGAATTTCTGCAGTTTTTGGCCAATCGGAGTCAGAACCTTCGGCCCTCAAGCGTCTAGCGTGGAATAAACGAACTGATTCGTGTTGTTTTGCGCCGCAAACATGCGGGAAGCTTGAAATCGTACGTTCAAGTATTTGCGATAAGTTTCTTAGCCTCTTCAATATGCCGGTTATCAAATTACAACACGTCGTGTCCTTCAGCAGCGAAGACAAGGTATGATCCACGAGGATGCACTGAATCATGCACACATGCCAGGTGTACACACCTTGTTTTGCTGCATACCCCTGCATCAAATCAATTTTCGTCATCCCATGATCAGGGCATTTCAAACAGTGTTTTCGATCAATAACATGCCTGTAGATGGATAATGCGGAGCGCAAGTTTGGCTGCTTCTCGCGCAGGGGTTGCGATGACATAAGAACGTCGAGCTGTGATTGGCTCTGATTGGAGAAATAGTAAGGTTAAAAAAAGCGCGGTGTCTAGCGTTACGTCCGACGGAACCCGAAATAAAAATTAAAGTTATGTCCGACGTAACTTTACCACAAGGTTTCGAGTTACGTCCGACGGAAACCAATGTGAAAATTAAAGTTACGTCCGCCGGACCCGCTGCCTGATTCGACCTGGATGAGTTTCGTACCGGCGTAGGTCGTCGTACCGGTACGTGTTCGTGTTATTACTACATGCGTTCGTGTAATTACATACGAGCAACACGATTTTTCTACATCACGGCACATATAGGGGCTTTAGAGGGTTTAGACGAGACGATGGGCCCTCAATCTGTCGTACAAAGCAACAACCGAACACTGATATCTCAGGGTCTCAGGCTCGCAGCATGCGTGCTGCGGTTTCCATTTGGTTAATGTTTTTTTTTTCCTTTTGTGTGTCACATCTAGGAAGAAGGGGTTTCCTATCGCAAAACAAACGGTCGGAAAAATAAGTCCATCTTAAAGGAGAAAAAAATCGTAAGGAGGGGAAAAGTTGAGAAAGAAAAAAAAAAAAGCGTATGTGACAAGTATCGAACTCGCCCGGTCGAAGCAGTTTCTACATACAAGGAACAGATTCCAACCCTTTCAACGAACCCGGAGCAGTGACGTATGCAGAGGGGGGTTCGGATGGTCGAAACCCCCCCTTCCCCCCCTCTGCCTATTGGGTTACGTCGGACGTAACTCAAAACCTTGAGGTAAAGGTACGTCGGACGTAACTTTAATTTTTATTTCGGTTACCGTTGGACGTAACTTTGCTCTTTGTTTCAAGTTCCGTCGGACGTAATTTTAACTTTTATTTGGAGTTCCGTTGGACGTAACTTTAATCTTCTAATTGGGTTACGTCGGACGTAACTCAAAACCTTGAGGTAAAGTTACGTCGGACATGACTTTAATTTTTATTTCACGTTCCGTCGGACGTAACGCTAGACACTGTGTAAAAAAAGTTTTTGAGGCAAAGGAGACGGGAGGAGGAAGCAGACGGAATGCTGGAGAGGAGAGGAGGAAACCTCCTCCTTTCTTCATCATTCCGTCTTCTTCCTCCTCCCCAGCCAGAAAAGTTTTCTTAACCTGTAACTGACTATTCGCAACTCCAGCCTGCCGCTCGCCCTCTCGCGAACGGAGAACCAAAGGAGTGGGGATGGCAGCGGCGGTGGCGGCGTGGAAACGGTGGCAGGGATTGTCGGCCTTGATGCGTAAAGCCGTTTTAACGATAATAGTGAGCGTGTTAAAATAGGAATTCTTGTGCTCTGCCTTGCAACAGCGCTGTACAAAGGACCGGGATGTCTAATTTCATTAGGGACTTTTTGTATATCGCATACTTGCGAATCTTGAACATGACATCGGCGCCTTTTTGCATTTTGTCAGGAAAGAGTATTAGTGGGCACACAATTTTACCCCTTATATTAAAGCCCTAAATGAGCTCTTTCTATAACAATGATATCTTTAATGACAACCGAAAAGATGACAACCGAAAAGATGACAACCGAAAAACAGAAAATTGGCGATCGCTTGTTTGCGCTAACAGTGCCGCGCTCCGTACATGGCCATCAGCTCAATCTGTGCTCATCGTTACAGCAAACGCTCCCGCTAAAAATATAGAGCTCTAGCGTACGGTCCACGAAAAGTCTATTCTTTGCCTTAAGTAGGAGAAAACTCGTCGTGCAATGGTATGTCGAGCAATACAGATCGGGAATCGGTTCGTGTTTTAAGCCCGTTACAAGGAACATGACCATTTATTCCAAGCACTTTCAAAAGACAGAATATGCACGCATACTTGCTTTCAGGTAACTACAAAGCAAATAAAGAAATGCTCGAATCATTTTAAGTGCGTCTGTGTGAGCCAGCCGGTCGTGATCACAGCTTAGAGGGGGCAGTTTTGACGAGAGAGGCTGCAAGGTTGCAAATGACACGGTACAAAGAAATGTATGATATATATAAAATGTTTATTTTTGATAGAGCAATAAATAAAACCACTAAACACGCCGATTATGCTTATATGCAGTTTTAGCATAGCGTTATTGCAGGCTACCGTTGGCTACCGTGAGCACTGCAACGCTCCTGGTACTCCTGGCACGCGCTGAAAATTATGCTTCAGAGGCGCAGTGCGAGCTTCCGGTTGTAATGCTGCAGTGCACGGTAGCCTGTGGTAACAAACTTCTTATCAATAACCAGAGAGCAGTTTGATCCCGTGTTGCCATACCCTAAAACCGAGACGGTGAGCAGCGAGTTGCGAGCCTGTCACACGAAGACATCTATACCGTGAACGCTGCTTTTCCGCGTGCGGCTCACTTTTTAGAGCACTAATGGCCAGGCAAAGCGCAAACATGATATCTTCATCCCACTCAAAAATATTCTGCCACGAACAGTGACCTGGCCGGTGCCTAAAGCACGCTCGCCCTTTACCAAGCTTCGCAAGTTGAGGTTTCTGTAACTTTTAAAGATCAGCATGCTCGTTTTCCTCAAACGCATCAACATATCCGTCACCTGTAATATGATCTCTCTCTAAGCGCTTCGCATTTGTTGACAAATAAATCACTTTTAGCGCGCTGACCAGCGTCAGCAAGCAGGCGCACGGGAAATCCTGGCGAATCTATTCCCGTCTCTTCCGCCATCTTGGAACTACCGCCCCACCTTTTTATAGGGTGTTGGAGTTGCAAATAGCTGCCTTAAGTCTACCCATTTTCCTTCCAGTCGATCCAATTGGAGCTCGGCGTTTTGACAGCACCACAACCCATGCAAATGAAGCAGACGAATTTTTACTCCGCATATGCAATTTGCCTGAATAAACACGCTGCACTGATCCGTTTTTTTTAAAATGTTTGTGAATTTAGCTGAAGCGAACATTGCGTTAGTGTTTGTTAATATCGTGTTTCATCTGACAAATGTTGAATTGGGATGACATACATGTGACCAAAAATTCAGCAGGTGGGGAACATAACTGGACTGCAATTATTTTGTTTTGCATTTGTGTCGCTTCAGTGGGACTGTGTGAGAAATTGCACAAACTCTTTCATTCCCCGACCTGGTATCAACAACTAACAAGTGCTTAAGGGCACAGGGTAAGGTAAAATTGAAAAAAAAAAACGAGTTTAGTTTTTTTCGCAATTTGAAAAGTTTAGTTCTTTCTGCACATTTTCCATTGTCCCAGTGTTTTTAGAAAGCTATATTTCGGGCTGAAAATCACTTCTTCCGAAAGCAAGTAGCAGGTGACCACGCCTTCTTTTGGGATACACTGCCTGTTTATCGATGAATTCTCTAACAAAACAAAATCAACACAAGACCTAAAAGCTTGTCCAGTAACAGATAATCTCAAAAATTATTTCGCAACTACTGCATAGCTTTTTTTCAACCAAGACAATCACGAGACGCTGTGCACGTTTTTCCCAGGTGTGTACCGTGTGTACATTCAAGCGTATGTGTTTTTGTAACGACAAAATGGCGCCATTGGATGCTGTTCCTTTATTCAATGGTGGCAGCATTGCACAAGCCAATGTTTTCAAGTTTTGTGGATGGAATCCTGTGTGGAAAACCATCAAGTGGCTGAGGGAAGTTGACGTCACTCTAATATACTTTACGGACCAAGCGACATGGCAGGTCACAAAAGAGGCCCGGCAAGCAAGACGATAAGCCTAAAGGCGAACACATGACTTTAGCAATGCCTTTCAAGCTGGCGGCTATTGAAAAAATGACTCTGAAGCTGTTGGTGCCAATAGAAATTCGTTATTCACCAGTTTTTTTACTTTAAACTCAATTATCTCAAAACAGTGTTTTTCAGTACATAGGTACCATTTTTTCCTTAGCCTGACATTATAGGGGGTTGATTTTTTATTCCTACCACATACATGTGTGTTCAAAAATACTGAACTAAAATTAAAAATTTGCACCTAGCAGTTCTTGAGTTACAAAATTTTTAATAGATGGAAAAAACTAAAATTTCAGTACTAGAATAAAAAAATATGAAAAAAAAAACTTATTTTAGATTGGTTTAAATAATTCTAGTTCAGTGGATAAAACACAATATTTCGAACAAAATTATATATACATGACAGGAGTACTCCTAATAGTCACCGAGAAAAATGTTCCTCAACATGGCCTCAAATGCATGGGGAGTATAGGACTTACCCTGTGCCCTTAAAAATATCCCGAACGTCTTCAGTGCAGAGCGCAAGTTTGTCTGCTTTCTGCGCAGGTGTTGCAGTGATGTCAGAAGACAGAGTTCTGATTGGCTCTGATTGGAGAGATAGTGGGTAGACCTCAATACTAGCTTTCTTGAGGTCTATGCACTTTCCTTCCAATCTAGCCAATCAGAGCTCGGCGTTCTGACGTCGCCACAACCGCTATGCAAGGAGCAGACATATTTCCTCTCCGCATACGTCGTATTTATTCACAATGTATTGGCTGGTATGTGTTACCCCCCCACGTCCTATGTTTGTATGACTATTTATTTTATAATGAAAAAATTATGTATGATGTGCCGAGTAGGAGTCGTACATGGACCTCTGATGTGATGGAGTAACTGCACTGCCGGAATGTGACTCTGACCGGTGTGTTTACTGTCCTTCGTGCCCATACACCAAAAGTGATCCCTAAGTTGCAACAAAGCACATCGCAGAAGCTGGCTTGTCATGCTGCAATGTTGTGATCCTGACGGTTGGTGCTGGAGCACCCGGCAAAAAGTATGAGCTAATGCAAGTAATCCTGTCGTCGTGGCATCCCAACTGCTGGCTGCCGAAGCTTATGTGGACTGCCAAGCTGGAGACTGACCTGCAGCAGAACAGTCATCCGCATCATCCATCACCACTATTGCGACACCACCAGGATCGCGGCTGGCAACAGCACGGCAATTTGATGATGTCATCAGGTGGAAATATAGGTTGTGATATTAATGCAGTTATTGAAAATGTGCCGCAAGCTGGACAAGACTAACAATAGTAACCCCTGGAGATGGAGAACGCGGAGTACAAAGGACAAACACAATTCTCCAAACACAGCCAGGTGACTGGTGCTTGACTGAAAAAATCCGCCTGGTCCTGGTATCGAACCAGGGACCTCTTCATTTCCAGTAGAGTGCTCTACCAGCTGAGCTAACCAGGAGTTTGCTCTATTGACATCTAACTACTGGTTAGCTCAGTTGGTAGAGTGCTCCACTAGAAATGGAGAGGCCCCTGGTTCCTACACCAGGACCAGGTGGATTTTTTCAGTCACACACCAGTCACCTTGCTGTATTTGGAGATTTGTGTTTGTCCTTTGTCCCTCTTGTTCCCCCTCTCCAGGGAATATTATTGTTATTTCTTGAAATCTAGGGACCACTTATTAGGACGCTATAAACAGATCAGTCAGAGACAAGTTCCAGGCCTCGTAAAGAAACCTAGGAGCCAAGGAACGAGTCACCAATAGTGGCAATCACTTGTGCAGGTTCACAAGGCCGAAAACCTCCTCAAGTCGGAGAGGTACAGAAAGTGGAAGTGTGCGACAGCTGGAGAGAAGCAAGCGTCGGTCATTCTGCAACTGGAGAAGGCTTCCGTGATTTCCTCCATCGACATTGGAAATGAGAGCTCTGCTTTTATCGAAGTGTTGGTGGCAAGGTCGTCGGATGCTGCGCCGGAATTTCAGGTGAGGCGATGGCTGTTTTGCTGGGTATCAATGCTTGTTTAAATGCAGGATTGAAATGGTTTAGATTAGTAAGTTATTTGTATCAAGGATCAATACTATACTCGTTTTCACCTCAAGAAATAAGTGTGTTTTACGCATTGTTTATACGCCGCGCAAAGTAGTTCTTGCAAGTCTTGGTTGTTCGAGTAAGAAACAACTCTCATGGCGTTTGAAATGTGTACGTGTTGATGAGATAACATCTGTCCAATCCTAAATGTACCTACATATATCTTAATTCTCTACGTAAAGGGGGAAATTAGTAATGCTCTGCAAAAAGCCAGACTTTTTTTGCTATGGTTTTTGAGGTGAAAATGAGTATGGTAGTTGTTAATGACAAATCTCGTACAAATTTAACAAATCCCAGGCAAATATAAGCTGTTAATGTTATGAGCAGGGGCGTGCATAGGTATTTCCAGAGGGGGGGGGGGGGGGTCAGCATATATATATATATTTGAGAACTCCCCCCCCCCCATTACTCATTTCCCCACCCTAAATTTTTACACATGCATAATTCAAAAGGGGGTTTAGGACATCCGAACCCCCCATCTGAATCTGCCTCTGGTTATGAGGGCAAACCAATTCAAAGAATTGCTGCTGAAATTTTGAAATAAATGAAAATATTTTCTGTAATGTTGAGTCTAGCCATCCATTGCCCTTGAAGGAGCTCAGGGAACGTTTTTTTGTGAAGCTGCACATTGGCTTTCAGCTAGGGTCATGTTACATGATATAATTGCACTCACTGAGCATCTTAGCATGCTGTTTTCATCGATGCAGATACTCTCTTCTTTTTTTCCTCTCAACTGTTCTTCATCCCTTATGAACTGAAGGGTTGTGCACAATGTGTGCGTCTTGCACATGCAGGAAAAAGAAAATGAGGGGGGGCATGAACTCTATATAATATGAAACTTTCCTTGATTGCATTACATGCTGTACCCTCGGCTCAGTGAGTCCCCCTAATAGGAAGTGTTTAGTCCGTTTGTACTCTTACATTAAACATTAACTTGTCCACAAATATATGTGCCAATGCCACCAAAGACAAGCCGATACACACAGATTTAATGTGGGTTAAGTTGCATTAATTTGCTCTTTCTTTGTTTGGTTTATGTTATTATACAGGTTATTTTTTTTTTTTTTGTATTATGAAAATGTGTGGGGTACTTTTCCTCAAGGCTTACTGTTTTCTGCTATGAGTGTCAATTCTTGTGAATACATATAGCAATTTTTAGGTGTGCATTTTCCTAAGTTTAGTTAGAAAACGTCTGTGGGAAGTTAGTGCACCTTAAGCTGTGCCTTGTGTCTTCATTGTAGACTAGTGTTTTAGCCTGTGCAGTAGGACTGCCGACCTAGGCTCTTTAACATGAGTCACATAGTAGTGATTACATGAACACATGCCGGCACAATATTCGTTCAGATCGAAATGGGCAGGAGTGAGGATTGATTCCTAGGTTCCGCAGCGTAAGCTTTTGCTACATCTGCTCCGAACTGTGACATGCTAATACACTCGTCCACTGAGTTAGAATGGCTTTGTTGAAGATGATGCCAAGTATGTAACGTCCAGTTGCTATTTTTCCCAGTCGTAACTTGTATTTTATTTCCCACACTTTGCGCCTTCAGGTGCTTCTCGTGGCTTCCTCCTTCATGAGTCCCATGGATGCTCGCCAGGGCACCAATTTGAACCGTGTGCGTATGTTCAGCACTGACAAACTTTCCCAGACGTTTGCGAAAGAGAAATGGGACCGTATCAAGGTCGTCTGCACTCAGCCTTTTAACAAGGTAACAATAGATGCATTTCTTTTTTTTTTTGCACTTGCACATCTTCTCTACCGACGGTCTTTTTTGGCGTAAAGACGACATCCAGTGGTGAACGTAAATGCCTACTTTTGGATGTATGTGTCATCAGAGCAGTGGAGTGGTACTCAAAGATTGCGTCTGTCTCAGGGTGCTTGTGCACCCCAGCCTTGGGAAAAGAGGTGCGAGGAGAGCTCGTGCTTGCGCAGACCTCTTCTCTGAAAGGTTTGGGTGTTCCTCACTGAAATATTCCTTCATACATTTATTTATTGGCTTATTTTTATGTATTCATAAACAGCTGATGCATTGGTTATGATGCCTAACAGATAGTCAGATAAGTCTTACTTAAGCGCTTCAATTTTTCATGAAAACTTTTGCTGTGCTGATGGCATTATTCAAATGCATGCAGGTCATGGGTCAATTTAGGATTATTCGATTCAAACAGAAAGTAACAGTAACTTTCAGAAACAGGTTGGAGCATACATGCACATGCTAGTTGACATGGATATCTGAGCAGTTATTTAAATTTTGAAAGCACTTGTGCAAAGTCAGATAATGCTCAAGTGTTCTGGAGTTTAGAGTACAATAACCGAATCATTTGAGCTGTTTACTAGTACAGTCATGTCTCGTTAATATTGACCCCATTCAAATGAATAGCCCTCTTTATGGGCACCACTTTCGGGGACAAACTGAAAAATTATATGTATTTTTGTCTCGTTATTATGGACAACTCACATTAAGGACGACTTTTTACGGGAACGGAGATGTCCATGCTAACGAAACATCACTGTATATCTGTAATCAATAAGGTGACAATGCTAAGATAATGTCTTAACGACTTTGCTATTCAGTGATTGTGAAACAACCTCCTAGGATACATGGGGCTGGGCTGTTTGTTTCGTTAATTTTGTTTTAAGTTGAAAGATAAAAAGTGTGTTTTATTTTTTTTGTGAGAAAAAGTGAAGGAACTTCGAATTTCATTTTAGAAAATTGGATTTAGGTGTATAGGAAATTTAGTATTAATACAAAAAATTAAAGCTTTTTTTTGTATTTTTACTAGAAAGGGGTTGGTTATTCTATAAAACCTTGCTTATGCATTTGTTTTTTAGTATTTCTCTAGCCATCCACTCATACTGATCTGACTTGTCATTTAAGCTCAGGATACAGTTGTTAGCTGGTTAAAGATCTAGTAGCTCATTGCTTGATACTGAAAGTTTAAGGGGCACCAAGTTCTACCCTAAAATGTCTAACCTTATTTACTTTCAACATTCTATGTTTGCCTCGGTTACTATTTTTTCAAAGCGAGCCTTGTGAATTGAAGAAAAGAAAGTGCAGAAAATTGATCATGCAACTAAATTGCCTGCTGTTACAAATTATGCCTCTGGTTCATGGGCTCACTAAATGTAAATCCTTAATTTCCAATCCCGTGAAACACTAATTCAGAAGGCAGTCCTTTCAAAAGTTAGTGAAATCGTTGACTTGGACACTTGAAATTATTTATGGCAGATGAGGGTACTGATGCTTTTGCATTGATTTTTAAGAAAATTGTTCAAAATGTTCTGCAGTTCTGCAGTGAACTTCCAAATGCTGAGCTGTTTTTCCTTGTTGGTCAAGAGCATATAGCACTTGCCTAAAACATGGCTGATGAATGAGTGATAACTGTAACATGAAAAAGTTGCTTACTTGGTTACCAAGTTCCTGCTTTGTTCATCTGCCTTAATTTGGTTCACTTTCTTTATTTTAGAGTATGCAGTATGGTTTGGCTTTCATCACTTTGCATTCACCTGGAGAGATGGACCCAAAGGTATATAAATTAATTATATAAAATCAGTTTAGAAAGAATTCATTCATGCACTGCTTGAATACAACATGCTGCTATCACTTCTACAGATTTTTCTCATATATAGACATATGTTGTCAGACAGTAGCCACGTTCAATTTACCTGTACCTCTTTCACCGGTGCAGGAAAGTGTAGGGCGGTGTACTTCCGGTCGTATCTCAATGAACATACCGAAAGTACACTGCCCTACACTTTTCTGCACCGGTGCGGGAGGTGGAGGTAAATCGAACGCGGCTACTGTAACAAAAACAAATGCCATAAAATTTTTATCATACCTTCAAATGAAGGTTATCTATATAAAAAAAATCAGTTAACTTCTGTAATTCACACCTTCTGAATGCTTTGAACGGTGATTGCGAGGCCACAACATGTGCCAAATGTTTTAGAAAGGTCAAACTATAAAAGATCTCAAAAAAGTTTTACTTGTTTGCACTGACTCCAACTTAAGCCAAAAACTTTTCAAATGCTTGGTGATTATATTGTTACAGCTATCTGAAGCTGACTGCCTGTTTCTTAGATCATCATAGATGCCATATTGAACAAGCTTTATCTTATCCCATTGTTCCCATCCTCTATACAGCTTGTTTTTGATTAGAAGAAACTATCAACTAGTACTGTAATAGCATGTTCACCCACATTACATACAAAAATATTGAACATTGTATTTATTTAAATCAGTGTCTAAAGTTTTCGTTATTTGCTATTTTTTATGTATACTTTGAAAGCATTCTAGCAGTGTGGGCTCTTCATTACAATGTTAATTAACCTTATTAAATGCAATCTTTTCTTAAATTGCCCTAAATTACCCTTCATTTGTTTTTTGGATTATACTGCAATGGCAATATGCCAGCAGAGAATAGCTCTGCTTTACTGGCTCACTAAAACATAATCTTATTGTAAATGTCATCATTTGAAAGTTCTCTGGATGCTCAAATCAGTCCCAGTAAGACACATGAATGATGAATTTTAGGTTACGTTAATGTGACTGCTTTTTCAGGGAGGTTCATCTCCAAAAGCAGCCTTGGGTGGCTTCCAGCTTAAAGGTGATGACGATGAAACGGACCTGGCTGTGGGAAGCTGGTTTGCCAAGCGAAAGGAAAAAGAGTGTCTTTCGCAAGATACTTCAACAAGTGAGTTTGTGCCTTCGACTGTGGTTCGTCCTAAATATTCTGGAAGGATTCTGCACTGTCATTGTGTAAAATTGAGAATGCATGGTAGTATATGCCATCATCTCTCGTCAATGTGTACACCACTGTTCCCCCAAAAGCTGTCCATGATGTGAGTTGTTCATAATGCCAAGGACAATATGCATTTATATAACGAGTTAGTCCCTGAAAGGTTTTATGCACATTAATGGCACATCACTGTACTATGTTGAGAAAAGTCACAAGCACCTGCTGCATCCCAAAAGCTGAAATCAGCTTGATGTCACAATTGACATGCTGCGAGTTGTCATTGTTTGACTGCTTATTCTATTGAGCTAAAATGTCCCTGAGCGCAACAAAAATGTACAGACCCAAACTCTTGTTTCCATTTGTTTCATTATATTGTAGGCCAACATCTCACCCAAGTAGGTGGGGTAAAATGAAAAAAAAAAAGATATGATAACAAAACAAACAACCCGCATGAATTTTAATTGATTTCTAATCTTTTCTTTGTGCTCTTAATTTGCACACACATAATCGAGGTGGTTAAGCCAGGGGACAGCCTTTTGCTGCTTCAATGTATGGTCATGCCTCACCTCTTTAACAGGCATATGTCCTGTCCAAATTCATTCGATTGTGGTTATTTGCTTAATCAAGTTGAAAACAAGGAGATAGTGGCATGTGCGTTGCCGAGCGATTACGTGCGTTGCCGAATGGTTACCGTGTTTGGCTGTTGCACGGAAGGTCTGGGTTTGATTCCAGCGAGCGGAATGTTCTTTTATTTATTCTTTCAACTTGGTATTCTCGCGAGTTTGAGAACATTCTCGTCTGATCGAGTTTCGAATGTTCTACGCGCTGAACGTTCTAGGCCGAATGTTCCAGAAACCCATGCGGCTACAAAAGGTGCTCCGCGTGACAAACCAGAGTCAGTTTCGCCCCAGCGCTCCATCCTGCTGTTTCGCCGACATCGACGCCTGTGACGCTAACCTTTCTCTATTTTGTTTTGGGCACAAGTTCGCGCCATTAAACGCTCAGTTTATTCAGTTATTCGCCGCCTCATCACTTGTCATTTGTGACAATAGAAGCTTGCTCGCTGTCAGTTAAAATGATTCAGTTAAAGGCCGATGAACAGCCAGAAAGAAGGAAACTTTCCCTCGGTGCCTCCCTTCTATTTGGAAAAGGGGGGAGGCACTCCTCCTTTCTGTGGGGAGTAGCTCAGAAACCCGCTTCTGTGGGGAGAGGAGAAGTGTGCGAGGGGGAAGGGAGTGAAGGAAACCGGGAACCGGTTTTCTTCATGGCAGAAGATGGGCCTTTAAGCACAAGCTTTGTTTACCAAGTGCCAGGTGAATGTGATGCAGCTATGCCTCTGTATTTGTTTCTGCCATAAAAAAGAGAGAAAAAAAAATTCAGTTTGTGTGCTTGAAAATACGAGGAAAAGTTGTTCTTTCATACAAATAATCTGTCTTCAATCGTGCGTGACATCCGCTTAGAACTTTACTTTCTGAATGCTACAATATTTTCTTCATCTGCTTTCATTGCTCACTTGCAGTTTTCTGTTGATTGGAGTTCTTAATCGTCTTTTTAGAAGAGACCTTCAGACTCCTGCTTCAGAAAGCCTGTTAGGCCTCTGTCATCATAATAGGCGTGACGATGATGACTCAGTATGTTCTCGAAGGCACTGACCATTGAAGTCTGATGATAAAGTTGACATCTCATTAAATAAACATTGATTGATTGATAAAGTTGACATTTGGGGTGGGTTGGTAGTCTAACATATTGAGGTATTTAGTGCTTTATATCTCAATATTAAGTCTGATATTTTGTAATTGGAAACTAACAAAATTGTGATCCTTCCAGGTCCTGCTGCAATCAAAGGCGCATCTTTTGCAGCCACGACACTCAGAACTGCTGAAGAGAAGTCACTGAAGCCGGTACCACAAGCACTGAAAGTAGGCTTCCCATTTTGGTGTACCATACCATACTTATAAAAAAAAATCCTTGTTTTTTGGGGTTTTTTTTTGTTGCTTTTTTATAATTTTGGCATTTTTGTATATGTTTCTGCCTATTCAAAACTTTTATTGATTTGCAGATATTGTTTGCTACTCGCTTGGTTTTGCCGCACACTCCTGGAAGTATTCGAGTATATTCAAAAGTATTAATGTACATTTAAAACTTTGAATGATTGGCAGGTACTGTTTGCTACTCAATCAGTTTCGTGGCACACTTTTACTCCTAAAAGTACTTTTAAAGTTTTTTCCAATATTCAAAAATTATGATTAATGTCTTCAGAATTCTCTCAAGACTAATTTCAGTAAGATATTTGCTGGACTATAGCTCTGCCATAATGCATTACTTCAGAAGATCAGCAGTGGCATTTGAAGAAAGAGTCTAGAGGTCAGATGCAAAAAATCTTTCTTTCTACAACAAGGTGTAAAGTTAGGCGAGTTGGTTGATGGTCATATATAATGGGTGTACACTGATCTTGCCCTTGACCCATCCATTTTCTTTTCCTTCCGTCTTTCACCAATTTGATTTGATATTGGGGACTAGTCTTGCTCCCAAAAAGTAGCCTGCTGGTGAGGCATTATGGAAACTACCATTACAGTTCACAATATGCGATGGAGTTCAGTATCCACTCACGTGCTAAGCAGGGGTGGATCCAGACCTCCATTTTAGGGGGGGCGGTTCCTCGGTGTAAAACGGGGGGGGGGGGGGGGGGGGGGGGTTTATATTTTTTGTGGAGTTATCGTTTTTACTAAACTCTGATAACATAATATAGATCTTGATAGCTTTTGTACTGGTTTACGTGTCGGGAATGAACTCTTTGAATTAAAACCTTTCGGGTGACCACGCTAGAGTAAGTATCTCGAAAATTGTGGTGGCACTATCCTTTCTGAACACCATAACGCAAGGAATTTTGTAGTTCATAGGAAACGGGATTACTCCATCCGCGTGGCAGCGCGCTAGAAATAGAAAAAGTTTAACTACTGGGGGTGAATGTATGGTGCTATAGCGGCTGTGACAATTGCAGACAGTGTAACTTGATGGCTCAGATATCCCCGGCGGGGCTACAACTTTTGGGCTCCTTTTGCTTGAATATTTATATATTCTCGTTACACCCGCAGAGCATGTATGGAGAGCCAACCTTTGCCAACTATATGGAGGAACCTCATGCAGCTAATGACAATGCGAAAAACGTTTTAATCTAAAACTCGGCTGTTTATTGAGATTAAGCTTGGCATAGTAGTTAGAACTTTATATTCAGGGCCAAAATGCAGAACGTGGTTTTAAAACATACTTTTCACTGTCGCCGGTTGCTTTAATGGAGCGAGTATGTTGCTGACAAGCGACAAAAATGGCCCGGCGGCTTCGACGCTGCTCGCAGCGTCAAAACACTGTTGACGCAACGAGCGAAACGAACGCCGCCAGGCAAGTTTGTCGGTTGTTCGCTGTATATTTGAAATGTCCAGAGCGCAGCACATGCTGCATTGCCAACCTAAACTCGTGTTTTCACGTGTTCTGGATGCAACTCAAGAGAACGAAAGCAAATAATTGTTGAATATTTTTGAAAGCATGTTGCAGTTCGGCAACTATAACTTTTAAACTTAGATGGATCCTTCCAAATTATATTCAATTGCACTTCGTCTGGATATTTTCTGTATGAAAGGAACACTTACTTGTTTCTGGGTAGTTAGCTCATTCGTCGCGGTTGAGAGGACAGGTGCAGAGATATAATGGGGCAGAGCGGTTGTCCTGTCGGCGAATCTCAACTGGGCTAAAGGCCGATCACGACTGCAGCATGGATGTTTGGGAGTCGGTGTTCACTCGAACGGGCACAGGCACTGTCTATTCTTTTTTTATGTATAGTCGCACCTTTGAAAGGGCTCGTTTTCCCCAAGTCCCTAGTTAGGGAATTCGAAGCCGCAGTTGCAAACCAGCAAGCCCCGCCCTCTGTTCTGTTCGACACACACATATTTGCTCCTGCAAAGCCGCGCGAAAGCCCTGCCGTCAATCCACAGAAGCCGCGTTTAACTCGAAAAGTAAAGATGGCGCCAAGGGGAGACAAGGGGTAGCGGGCGCATTTCCTAAAATATGTCCCGCCACCCTAAGTTGAAACGGCATTGTACACAAATAAATGCCTACGGCGTCGGCTTCAGGACCCCGTGTAAGCAGCCTCCAGCCTTTAGAGTGCTCGTACCATTTATCTTTCTTTTATTGGCTGCCCGCCACGAGAAGTCGTACCGCAGGCAGTATGAAGCCCATTAGAGGAAACATCTCCCCCTTCTAACGCTCGTCGGCTTCTTTCTGTATTCCGCGCTGCGGCGAGGACGAAAGCGGGCTTATGTTTAAGCCAAGGTCGTGGGGAAGTCCGGAGCGTCTTCAGGAAAAGCTCAGATTCAGACTACACTGTACCATGCCAAAAGACAAGCCCAAAAACCACGAAGAAACCATCAAACGAAAAGTGCTGAAAAGGCGGCCGCTAGAGAGGAAGGATAATCCGCTGTGTATATGATCGTACCCTTGAGGAAGGCTGCTTGGCGTCTGCGTTTGGGAGCTTTCAGAGCACACATTTTTTGCAGACAACCTCCAAGGAGAGAGAGGGAGAGAGAGAGGGAAAAGGGACTAGATATGTTGAAGGTATTTTCCCCCCGTGCTTGACGTGCTTAGGGAGCCTTCATGTTGCGCACATGGAGGCACCCTAGACGTGCTGGCCTTGTTTGGAAGTGTGCCTGCAGCCGAGGACCCTGATATTTGGTGCGCCTCCCCCACCGTCCCTCCACTTCAAAACTCCTGGCGTCGTCCCTCTCGGGAAGACGCACCGTGACCTTGACAGAGATAAACCCCACTTTGGAAGCGCCCAGCAGGCGCATCCACCCACCGCTGTTTTAATCTTTTGTCCCTCGCGTCGATTGCTTACGTTTTTTCTTCGAGCTGACGAAGAACCCCGGCGGGGGGGGGGGGGTTGCCTGGCGAGGCGTTTGGGGGGGCGATCGCCCCCACCGCCCCCCCTTGGATCTGCCACTGGTGCTAAGACAGCCTTGGGGTGTTTCGAATCCCATCCTTGTTGCCAGTTGTGATAATCCAGCCAGAGCCTGTGGCCGGGCCGAAGGACTAAGCAGACAAGTCTGATTAAGGTGTACACGCTACTTATAACTGCGAAAGTCACATGTGCTTTTTTTATTTACTAATTGTGGCTTCCTTACGTGAGCATGTGACAGTTGCCAGTCATCACACTTTTGTTTACTGTACAGTTCATAATTTGTTAAATGCAATTTATTATGTTTTTTTTTGTTTTTTAAAGAAAGAGCAGACGAAACTGGCTGCTTCAACAGAAAGAAATGTTGCGTCACCATTACCGAAGACTGCAAGAAAGCCTCCTGTTGAGCAGCCCAAAAAGGCTCCAGCTGAAAAGCTTACTCCAAAGACACCAAAAGCTGAAGGTGAGCTTTTAGCTGACTCACGACAACTGCAAAAAAAATAAAAATAACAGAGTTTCTGAAAATGGAAGGTCCCGTATGCTATATTTTCCAGTCTATAAGTCACACCGTCGTGCAAGTCGCACCCCGCAATAAACAAATTTTTTTTACAAAAAAGAGGATATATATACAGTGAAACCCGTTTAGAACGAACCCACGTACAGCGAATTATTGTCGATATCGAACTCATGGAAAATTTAAATAAAAATGCATGTAAAAAGTATGTTTTATGACAAACAACATATTGGCTATGTCAAACTTTTTTTCCCTGGGAAGGCTTCAAAAAACGTGCAAACACTCGTCTTCTAGCCTGTCTCTTCCACCAAAAAAGAAGTAGGAAAGAAAGAAAATTTCAAAAGCTGAAGTTTCAAACAAAATTGAGCGAAGACAAGCAATTCAGAAGGGGGAGAAAGCTAAAAGATGCACATTGCATGCACGCACAGAAAAAAAGCAAAATTATTTTCATCCCAAAGCATTTGCCAATGAAGAGAAGCGATTCAGAAAGGGAGATAAGTTAAAAAAAAAAGCAAAAAAAAACTGTGTCGTGCAAGAAATAAAACAAAAAGCTTTTGAGCGCGTTCTTACAAGGCAGAAGTGAAGAGATGAGAAAGAGAGAAAAGCTCTCGCCTTGCAACGAACTCATCGTGGAAGTTTGTTGTAAATGTCTTTTGCTATATCGAACTGATCGTAGCGTTTCCTGCTGTTAGTTATAAATAGGGTTCCGCGTTTTCGGCATCTATTTTTCTTCAGATTCGGGGGTTATTTATTGGAGTTTATTTTGTCTCTTGGAATCGGTGTTTTTCAATATTTATTTTTAATGCTGGAAAGAAATCGGTGATTATCGGGGCTTGTGTTGCAAAGCGACTGCATAATTACTAAAAAAACCATGGCACACCTCACATTACACACGTTTATTGTACACACATTAAACACATCACACAATGCACATACATATAGAAATGACAGAAAGCGTGACGCTTTGAGAAGCATGATATCAGAACTTAAACTTACTGAAAAAAATTGTTGTGTACATTGTCAGAGACTTGTCAGTCATCGGAGCGCGTTCCTTGTGGCTGAGGAAACGCAGTCCAGAAAACTTGCAAACAAGAAGCTTCTTCGCACCTTCACACAAAACCTCGAAATCATCAAATTCTTATTTATTTATTTATTTATTCAATAAATAAATAAAGTAATAAATAAAGTAGTCCTCCATCTCTTTTCGTTTTCTGCCCATACGAACGGGCACGCAATCCGTGGAGCCTATTGCCCTCTCCGCTTGCCCCCGCCCCTCTTCGCCTTTCCTCCTTCCTCCCATATACCAGGAAACCTATGCCTTGACAAAAGAGTTGAAAATCGTTGTGCTAAAAAAGATAAGGGAAGGGAATGAGGCAATAAACATGGTTTGAAAAGAAAGGCACGACCCCAAGGACAGTTCGGTGGGGCTGTGTTCCGGGTCAACGAGAAAAGAAAGCGGGCTAGAAGATTCTTTCAGCAGAGCTGCCATTTTTTCCGTAGCTTGCTATTCGGTGTTTTTCATTTTTTACCGATTCAGAAAAAAACGCCTCGCGGGTTAATTATTGGTAGTTATCGGTATATACCGAAAACACGGAACCCTAGTTATAAATGGGTTTGACTGTAACGTGTGGATGTGGGCCTGTCATCTAGTTAGTTGAAAATATAGGTGTCTAATTCTAACCTTTCTGAGAATACTGAAAGAAAGTGCAACTACCCTGTCTCGTGCTAACTGTGTTTCACAGCACATTCCTAAACTTGTGCAGATAATTGCCATGCATCAACCACAGTCACGACATGACGTTTTGAATATTAAGACTTTTTGTTTTCCTTATGTGATTTTCACAGTTAATTGCATTGCCAAATCAATCGTTTCTATATTTCTGATCGTGCCTTCTTTAGCAGCGAAGAAGCCAAAGGCTCAGCCACGCTTCCACGAGCTGATGAAGGGAGTGGTGTTTGTGCTGAGTGGCTTCCAGAATCCGGCCAGGTCCCAAATTCGAGACAAGGCACTTGAGATGGGAGCCAAGTACAAGGGCGACTGGGACAGGTCCTGTACACATCTCGTGTGAGTTTGGGCACCTGGACCAATCTTATTGTCACCTTGGTAGACTTATGATCATGTGCCCAGAATGATGTGCTGCAGGTCAGATACTTGTCTGATGGGGATGATATATAGAAAAAATGTTGTCCAAAGCAGCGTTTGGACTCGGTCTGCAGACAATCTGCTAAAATATTTACACGTCAAATTTGTTTCTTGATTATTTAGACAGCAAAAAGTTAAACTGCCTCAAAGGGCATTTGCTGTCTGCTCTGTATTTGAGAAATTAAGGCAATGACAGCATGACCATGTTGCAATGCTACCTTGTGTGCTTTATTGACTTGCTTATAAAACAAAAACATTTCATGTATTACAAAAAAAAAAAAAAATATTGGGCTTGGAAAACCCAAATTTGTGAATATCGCCTTGAAAAACTAGATTTTTTCCCATTTACTTGCTAGAGAGGTCCCTTATCTGAAGGTATAATGTGGCTGCTTTCACTGAATTAGGGGTAATTTTGTGCTACAATGATGGACAAAGTAAAAACCAAAACTCATGAAAGTTCAGTTAGTCCAAAAACAAACACTTCATTGCGCTTCTGGGCGGGACTTTACTAGGAATCCATAGAAACCAGGAAGTACTGAAGCCGATATTGAAGTCCTTGTATACATGGCTAATAACTTAAAAGGTGTGGGTAATCGGAAACAAATCCGCTGTCATATTATCCAATTTCGTAGAAAAATATAATCAAATTAGTTCTATACAAATTTCTAGCTCTTAGCGAACATTAACCCTGAAGGAAGAAAAAAAAAAACAGTATTATACGTGCGCCATTTTTTGCCAAGCTGCGCAAGAGTGCTTACCCTGCTACATCCCGATACATTTGGAGAAAACGTGATAACTTTGTGCCAACGTTGCGCCAAAACGTAATTTCACTTGATTAGAACTGGAAATAAAACGGCTGAAAACCTACGAAATGACTGAATCGTTACGGCAGGCTTGTCAGAATTTTCAGAATTTTTGATTATCACTTTAAGTAATGTACTACTCGATTTGATCTCTGTATCAGATATTGACCGTACTCGGAGGTCCCGCAATATTCTCCTGTTCGTGTCCTACTTTGCCGCAGTGCAGCCATATAGTAAAGGGAAAGCACTTCTCCAAGGCGAGGTGTTGCATACACAAGCGTCGGGTGTTTTCATCTCATGGGTGTTTTCATCTCAAATCGTGCAGGCAAAAAGGGTCGAATATTTAATTTCGCTGAAAAAAATATACGTTATGGCGTCGTCTCTAAAAACACAGTAGCCATAAGCCGTAAGTTCGTCGGATTTCTTGTCCTCGACTTACGAATTTTAAAAGAGGCCGCGGCGGAAAGCAGTGTTTTTCACATCCGTCGTGGGTCGGATGTTTCGCTCGATCTCCCGCCGCGGATTTTCAGTCCAGATTATATTAACTTTTTCCAAGCACTCTGTGAGCACAGGTAAAATGGTCTAATACCATAAAATAATTTTAGGCGCTTTGCTTTTTTTCTGTAAAAATGTCAAAAACGCCCCCTCGGTTAATTGTTGACGAACTTTGACATTTAAATGCTGGCAATCTACTTGGGTTACATCCATATTTTTATGTCAATGGAGAGCCCAAAACGCGCTCTTTATATATATTATGAAATGACTCAGGCTGTATGAAATATCCTTTGCGAGACGTTTACGTTAATGTTATGCGAAAACCAAAAAGTTCCAATTTTAAAATCGATTTCCCCCCAAAAATTTTTCATTTTTTTATTTTTTGTTAAAATGTGGATATGATAGTTGACTACTCGAAAAGTAAGTCGAGAAAGTGTGTATTTTGTTTGTATGTTCTATATTTAAGCCTCAATATCGGAAAGAACGTCTTGGTTTTGCAAGACCTAAGTCAGACATAGCGACCCGTGCGTTTCTATGAATTTTGAAAAAAGTTTCCTTGAATATTTGTCTGCGTTTTGTAATCAATTATAAACGCATTTTGTGGTATTGATTAGTTATTTATGTTTTGATAAGAGCGGGAAACCACGAGAAACATATCTAATCAAATCAGCAGGCCTAGTGTACCTTCAATATCGAAGAGGCACAAACGTTGTATTGTTTCGATTTATAAAACGTTCACTGTAAACTAGCATGACTAGCTATTAGCTAGCTGTCATATTACTAAGACATAGAAAGTCTCCTATCATTGATATATTATACTCAATTCTTTCCAAAACCAAACGCTGGGGTTTGTTCACCGCACATCGCACAGCTCACCAGGGAATGGCCTTTCCCTTCCGTAATACACAAAAGTGATGACACAAACGATCCGAAACACACGTAGAGACTGTCATGGAGATGGGTAGGGAATAAAAATAAATAAATAAGAATAAAATTACCCAACACCGATCTTAATGAAAATTGCGTTAAAAAAATAAAATATTTAGGTTCGAGCGGTGGCAAGGCGATAGGTCCACGCCTGGTGGAGAGTCAGACAAAAAAGTCGACAACAAGTAAAAAAAAAAAATATATATATATATTTAAGACGGAAAAACTTAGCCGCACATGGCAAGAACAAAAACCAACTCCTCTGGGCATTCCCTAAACGGGACACAACCAAATGCGTGCAAACACGCTCTCTACAGCATCGTCAGGCCGCTATGTCATGACGAAATAAACCCAACAACTAAACAATGCTAACACACAGATTGTAAAAAAAATCATAAAAAAAAACAAAAAAAAACGTTTAGCTGAACCGCACCCGAGAAACAAAGTTCAACGGGGCGAAGAAACACACACAAAGTAATAATAATAAAAAAAAAAAGTCTTAACTGACCGACGCCGAGTCCAGTCCCACGACACTGAAGCCTGGCAGGATGACGGCGTCCAGATGATACTCGAATCCATTCTTCATTCTGTTCCGCACAGACACAACGGCTGTGCAGAAGATTGGCTGTGCGGAACAAAGTGAAGAATAGATTCGAGCAGCGATGCGTGAGAAGGTAACCGAGACGTAACACGCCTCGAGCTTCATATCGGGAAAGGAGCTTTCGAGCTAGTTACTGTAGTTACTCAAACTTTCTCTTTCCCCTTCCCTTTTTCAAAATAACTCGTCAGCCGGCGCTAACTTTTCATCTCGGGAGAAGTCCACCCTTTACAAACGGTTATAGTTGACAAGGAGGCTGACTTCGACTCAAGTCACCCAACTAGTCTCCGCGCAGAATAAGTAAAGTTACCACTTAAGTACAAAACGAGCGTGTTGGTAACGGTAATTAGACATGAGGAGGATACATAGAAAGGGGGGACGGACAACGAAGACTTCGGACAACGAAGTCTTCGTTGTCCGTCCCCCCTTTCTATGCATCTTCCTCATGTCTAATATTTACCACCACGCTCGTTTTTTAATGTTAGTCACCGGGCTTTGCTAGTTCCGAAAGAGATAACCCTTCGGTGCTATCGGATCTCCGCGGAGAGAGATAGAGCACGGCCGTTTCAAGGATAGGGCGCTCGAAGCTTGGGCAAATACGCGGTATCGTTTCACGCGTGCACGGATGGCTGGTTTCAAGATTTCCCCACATCCCTAACAAAACCGGTCCATCTTCGTGTGTGCGTCTGCAGGATTTTCGTCCCTCGCCGCCGGTTTTAGCGCGCACGCGACGTTGTTTTGGCCGGCAGAACTGTTGTTGACCGTCAATTTGTAAGGCCTTGGTGTCCTCATCCTCCCAGGCAACAGTTCCTTTGCTTTCCCTTCTGCAATAGTCTGACTGACTGACTCCTCCTAGGTGGCCTTCACTGTACCCCGCATCAACGACACATTCATACCATTTCACTCCTCGCGACTCAGGGTGGGCTGCTCTACTGTCACGGGCCGTCCTATCTAACACAACGAGCACGAAAGGTCATGGTCATCTGCTGGTTCCGAAAGGGTGGGACGTTCATATAGGCCAATGAAGGCCCCGAATCAATACGACGTCTGTTGATTTCTACACATTAAAAAGTTACGACACCTGCTGGTCTGTTCAGAAGTGTTGCTTTCTCTTTTGAACTCCTCCAATGTAGCTTGCCGCCTATAATAAAATTTCAATGATCAATAAATATAACAGGGTGGAACTACTGTATTTCATTGTTTTCTGGGAACGTTGAAAAAAGGCAAAAATATTTCCAAGTTTGTGAAGACTTTCGAGCCGTAAAAACATGTTTTTGTACGATATTGATGCTTAAATATAGAACATACAAATATAATAACACTTTCTCGACTTGCTTTTCGAGTAGAACTATCAGATCTACAATTAAAAAAAAAAAACAAAAAAAACAATGGATTTTTTTTTTAGAAAATCGATTTAAAAATTGGTACTGTCTTGGTTTTAGCATAGCATTAACGTAAACGTACCGTAAAGGGAATTTAATACAGCTGACTGATTTTATAATATATATAAAGAGCGTGTTTTGGGTTCTCCATAGACATGAAAGGTATCGACGTATACCGAGTAGATCGAAATTATTTAATTGTCCAATTTTCATCAACATTTAACGAAGGGTTGTTTTTGACATTTTTACAGAAAAAAAGCAAAGCGCCTAAAAATATTTTATGGCATTAGAGCCTTTTACCTGTATACTTACAGAGTGCTTGAAAAAAAGTTAATATAATATGGACTCGAAATCCACGGCTGGAGATCGAGCGAAACCTCTGACCCACGACGGATGTGAAAAACACTGCTTTCTGCCGCGGCCTCTTTTAAAATTTGTATGTCGAGATCAAAAAATCCGACGAACTTACGGTTTGTGGCTACCGCGTCTTTAGAGACGACGCCATAACATATATAAAATAGTAAGGGTGCAGGCGAGCTGGTGGATGTTAACCATGTTGAATATACCTGAGACTATGGTAGAAAAGAACATAAAAGTCGAAGAAACAGAAAGGGACAGGACAACGTCTCAAACTCAGCTACCAGGTTTATTTAGTCCTCCTCTTTATATAGCCCACAAACATAACATAACATATATTTTCTTCAGCAAAATTAAAAA